TAAAGCAACTTTTTCCCACTTATTTTAACACAATTTGATAAAAATTATAAGTTAAAAAATTTATTTACAATTTTTTATAATTGATTTCTAAAATGATCTTTTAAATGATAGGTAGACTGGCGTCGTTATAGTGTGTTTTTAACGTTATGATAAACTGAATCTCTTCAAGAAGGGAAATTAAAAATGTTATAAAAGAAAAAAGTATTAAAAATATGCTCTTGAAATTTAAACACATAGAAATTTGAGAATACCTTGATCATTGTTGTTATTTTTAGTACTTATCCTTTGTATCCGTCATATTTTACAGTACTGCATAAAAACAGGAAAAAATCGTTATTTTTTTCGCCTTTTGACATGCCCTGTTGCAACCACTATTGAAATAATTTTATCAATAGTGGTTGAGAGTGTATTTCAATAGCAAACATAGTTAGTAACCACTATTGAAATAACGAACACTATTGATATAATTATATCAATTGTGGTTGAGAGTGCATTTCAATAACAAACATGGGTAATAACCACTATTGAAATACGACCACTATTGAAATAATTATATCAAAAGTGGTCGTATTTCAATAGTAGTTACTAAGTATGTTTGCTATTGAAATGCACTCTCAACCACTATTGATATAATTATTTCAGTATTGGTCGTATTTCATTAGTGGTTGCAACAATGCCCCTCTGGAAACCAGATGATATTTTGTGATTTGCGAAAAAATCCTATATAATCTATTTTACGGTAGTACCGGTATATCTGCTTTTTAGGACCCTCTCTTTATCGAAACCTAACTTCATGGTACCTTAAGGTGTGTGAGAGGGGGGGGGGGCTGATACTTAGATGCTATTAAAAAAAACACGATGTGTTTGTGTAACTCTGATGTCCCATATCGCAGCTTCTGACAAAGGTTAAAGTTTTTCATACCCAAGTCAAACTCCAAGATCAAGAAATGAAACATAATTTCCATAAGAATAGATTTTTCTCAATAATTTTATATGTGAATCCTGAAAGTTCAAGCACCAACCTTTTAAAAGTTATAACCAAGATGACAGTGTTTTTTTTTTTCAAAATGTGTATCAAACAATAATTAGGTCAAGGTAAGAGGATCAAATTAATTGTACCAAGGAGAAGACATCATCATGGGAAATTATCATGTGAAATATTAAGCCCTAACACCAACTCTTCAAAGGTTATGGAAAAAGTTATTTTTAATGTAGTTTGCGATTATTTGCGAAAGTTTCGCTTTTAAAGCTAAAGAATATTGTGTTTATTCTCAAAAGAAACACTTTATAACGCAACAGTAACACAATGTATAGGAAAGTTTTGCGTTAATTTGCAAATGTTACAAATGTTTTATTTGAAAAATTTACCGAGAAAATAACGTAAGAGTTTCGCAGATTATTGCGTTTACTTGGCAACACAGTGAAGATTAAACTTTTCTTAAATGCAAATTTAATTTATTGGTACCCAAAGTAGGGTCTCCTAACTGGAAATACAATTGTGAAACAAGAAATCCCTATTACCATCTGTTCCCAATTATAATTATGGCCAGGCTAAAGTTTTTTCAAAAGTACAGAAATCTTCAAGATCAAGGTCAGAAGGTCAATATTATTGGTATCCAATGAAAAGTATTTCCCCAAAGAACACATGTGTGAAGAATGGAAGCCTTAGCCCTTACCATTCGAAAGTTATGACCATGGTGAAAAGATTTTAAAAGTGAGTTAAACTTAAAAGATTAAGGTCAGAAGGTCAAGGTTATTGGTATTGAGGTCTTGTCACAAGAATTACATATGTAATATAGTTCTTGTTACAAGAATTACATATGTGAAGTATGAAAGCCCTAGCCCTTATTCTTCAAAAGTTATTGCCAAGGTTAATACTTTTTATAAGTCCGGAAATCAGTGAGGTCAAGGTCAAAAGGTCAGGGTTATTGGTATCCAATAAAAGGACAGAAAGGATGCATTTTTTAGAGTATGGAAGCCCTATATATAGCCCGAACCGTTCAAAATTTATTGCAAAGGCTAAGGTGTTTTCATAAGTCGGGAAATCTCCAAGGTCAAGGTCAGAAGGTCAAAGTTATTGGTATCCAATGAAAAGTCTTTTCATAAAGAATGCATATAAGAAGTATGGAAGCTTTAGCCCTACCCGTTCAAAAGTTATGGTCAAGGTTAAAAAAATTAAAAGTAGGTCGAATTCTAAGGTCAAGGTCAAAGGGTCAAAGATCTTGATATCAAATGAAAGGTCTTGTCACAAGAATTAAATACATAAAGTATGAAAGCACTAGCTCTAACTCTTTAAAAGATATAGTCAATCTTTGTTTTAAAGTAGGTCAAACTCCAAAGTCAAGGTTAAAGGGTCAAAGTATCCAATGAAGCATCTTCTTAAAAGGATTACAAAGTGATTGTAAAGTATGAAAGCTCTATCCCTTACCGTTCAAAAGTTTTCGCCAAGGTTAAAGTTTTTTCATTAGTACGTAAATCTCCAAGGTCAAAAGGTCAAGGTTGGTGTTATCCAATTAATGGTCTTTCCAAAAAATATATATACATTGTATATGAAGTATAAAAGACCTACTATCTACCGTTCAAAAGTTATGGTCAAGGTTTAAAAAAAATTAGAAATTTTGTGTTGAAGTGGGTCAACCTCCAAGGTCAAGGTCAAAAGGTCAAATTTGGTGCTACCCAAAGAAATGTCAAGAAATACACATGTGAAATATGAAAGGCATAGCTCCACTTAATCAAAAGTTAAGGGCAAGGTTAAAGTTTTTGCGGACAAACAGACAAACAGAGAGACAGAAATATAGAGAGACAGACAGACAGACGGACACGACAAAAACTACAGTGTAATTACCCCGAAACTTCGTTTACGGGGGCATAAAAATAATTCATGTTTTACCGCGTAACTCTCTCGAATAAATGCGAAATTATACGTGTTATACAGCCTAACTTTCGTTATTTAATGCTTAACTTTTCCAAATTAACGCAAATTTATTGCATGTATTGAGTTGAGGGCAACTGAGAGTTATGACTGTTTGATGAGGAACTTATGAAGATATTTGTAGAATATAGGTGTTAACTAATAGATTTTAACTTATATTTCAGATAATCATATATTGGAGCTAAGATTAGTATATAATTAGTGTAAAACTTCTAGCAGTCATAGAGTTTTTATGCACCTGTAAACAAAGTTTCGGGGGTATAAAGTTTTTGTCATGTCCGTCCGTCTCTCTGTCTGTCTGTGTGTTTATCTGTTTGTCCGCAAAAACTTTTACCTTGCCCATAATTTTTGATTTAGTAGAGCAATGACCTTTATATTTCAAATGTGTATTCCTTGTGATAAGACATTTCTTTGGGTACCACCAAATTTGACCTTTTCATCTTGGAGTTTGACCCACAATTACACAAACATTCCAAACTGTTACTTTGGCCATATCTTTTGAACAATTCTTTGTAGACAGACCACAACCTTGACCTTTTGACCGAGACCTCGGAGATTTCTGTACTTGTGATAAAAAAAATTAACCTCGGCCATAACTTTTAAACGGTAAGGGATAAGGCATTGATACTTCAAATATGTAATCCTTGTGAAAATATCCTTCATTTGATACCAAGAACTTTGACCCTTTGACCTTGGCCTTGGAGTTTGACCTCCTTTTGAAAAGCAAACCTTGACCATAATTTTTATAAGGTTAGGGCTAGTGCTTACATACTTAACATATTTACTTCTTTTGACAAGATCTTTTATTTGATTGCAAAACCTTTGCCTCTTTGACTTTGACCTTATATTTCGACTTACTTCAAAAAACATTTAACCTTGGCCATAACTTCTGAACGGTTAGGGCTAGGGCTTCCATATTTCACATTTGTATTCTTTTTGGCAAGACATTTAATTAGACACCAATGACCTTGACCTTTGACCTTGGAGATTTTTGTACTTATGAATTAACTTTAACCTTGGCCATACCTTATTAACGATAAGGGCTAGTGATCTCATATTCACATGTAATCCTTGAGAGAAGACCCTTCATTGGATACCAAGAACTTTAACCTTTGACCTTGACGTTGGAGTTGGACCTACTTTAAAAAAGCAAACCTTGACCATTACTTTTAAAAGGTTAGGGCAAGTGCATTCAAATTTAAAATATTTCATTCTTGTGACAATACCTTTCATTTGACAGCAAGACCTTGGATCTTGGAATTGGATCTACTTTTAAAAATTTTTAACCTTGGCCATAATTTCTGTACGGTTAGGGTAGGGCTTCCATGCTTTATATTTGAATTTTTGTGACAAGACTTTTCATTGGATACCAATGACCTTGACCTTGAAGATTTCTGTACTTATGAAAAAATCTTTAAACCTGGCATACTTTCATATTTCACAATTGTATTTCCAATATAATAGTATTAAATTTGCAATTAAGAAAAGTTTAATCTTTGCTATGTTGCCATACGGGGTCATCAGTGTTTCACAAACACATCTTGTTTTTACTAGGATTTAGGCAGTACAATGCTTGTGTAAATGTGAGGTTTTCTTCTGTACTGTAAGTTAGTACACTGCCTCCACAATGTTCAAGTCCACTTAATATGTAAATGAATTAATACATTTTAAACTGACTCTTATTTATGAGATTGAGAATTACTACGATTTATTAATCACGGATTTATACCAAAATTGTAGATCACTTAATTTTTGTGACGCCTTATTTTCGCGAGATGGTCATTTAGAATTAACTCTTTATTAACGAGACAGAATATTCAAGAATTGTGGTTACTGCTCTACAAAATATTTAGGAATATTAATATACACGAGAACGAAATTTTCGTGAGTACGCTGTCTCGTGTGAATAGGCGAAAATAAAGTTCTAAAAAGTAATTTACAGTAATGAGATATGTATACTGATATCAGATATATGGCTAGGTCACCTCCGTGACAATTTTCAAATATGCTATAATTACGTTTCCTATAAACAACTATATGTATGATGATCCTGCATTTAATTAGGTTTTTCAGTTTAATTTCCATCCAGCAAAAGATGTGAATCCATTTGAGTTGCTATGAATAGAACCACTGTTTGCACCCATATTCATTGTTGTCCTTAAGAACACATCGTCATGTTCGTTGGCCAGAATAACGATTGTGCTGCCGCCTTGATCGTCGTCTTTACCCATACTTTGTTGATAGACAATTCCTTCCATTTTTCCATTGACAACCAGTTCCACGCTATGATAACTACCGCTTGTTACCCTCACAGACCATGTGAAAACATACAGTCCTGTTTGAGGAACAGTGAAGGTACCCGTACTTTGATGGTAGGCGTTCCCAGTGTTTGTTTTGACGACATCAAAGACCAAGGGGTGGTGACCACCAATGTTAGTCATGTCTGACGACATGTAGGCGTAGAACGCTACTGGTCCGTGGTCATTTGATGAGGGTGGTGTTATCCTTCCTGTTGAATTAAACCCAATAATTATACGTTTTAATGATTGTTAAAACAAAGCCCAAATATGAATGTTCTTTTAAATGAAAATAGCTACATAACTTTATATTGTGTACTAGTTCTTCATTGATGAATCATTTATTCATAAGATTCAAATAAGAATATATACAGAATGCATCATTCTTGCAATGCCAGGGATCCTGCTTCAATTACACGCGTTGCGGTTGGTTCAATGGGTCCCAAGGCAACGCATTGACTCAGGACCCCTGGCATTGTGACAATGCACATGCACATGTAAAAAGTACATGTGTATCTAATTTTTTATTTCATTCATTCTTATTCTAAGAAAAATAGAGCTATATTATAATAACCTCTTCGAATAAGGCTTTCATTGGGTTCGACCTTGTCCGCTTTAGCAGTGATTTTCTGTAGATGGTTTGATTTTTGTTGTTTTTTATCGGAGCTATCCATGCCATACCTTTTCTTTGATATCGCCAGCTGATCCTTTACTTCTTTGATTTCATTTCTTTGCGCTTTGATCATGTCCATATGCTCCTTTGAAGTCTCTTCCAAATCCAAGATTTTTTGGGATTGATATTTCACAATGTTTTGTAAAGATTTCAGTTCTTGAATCACATCTTCAATATCCATTTGAGAAATTACATGTAATTGTCGCCCTCCATGAACGATACCGAATAGAGGGATTCCAAAAGAGAATTGTAATATCTTCATTCTGAAGGATTTTTATCGATTGTGTTAGATTGTCACTCGTGTTCCAGTCTTATCTTGACATAGAAAAACGACTGCACTCTGATTTGCGACACTGTCCGGTTTAAGTATTTTGTTTCGTATGATAAAACAGAGTGACCAACTTGGGGTTCGCTGTATTAGGTATTTTGCATTTTCAGTTAAAAGAAAATTGACTTCCTGATAATAAAGATGTAATAAGTTTTTTTAGCTTCAAAATTTTCATGCAAATTACAAGGAAAACAAAATACAAGGGAAATAAGAGAACACAAATTGTGTTCACTTCAATGTTATTTTTTTTTCAATGCAAAGGTTAGCAGTCGAGTTGCAGTGAGTTTGCCATATATTCTAACAGACCCCCGTAAAATCTAATCCCGACATATTGTTAAGGTTGTATAAATCACATACAGTTCATATGTGTACTAATATAATATATTCAAAATGTATGCTTTTAGGACCCTCTGCAACCCAACTTCCGTGTAAAATCTTATCCCGACATATTGTTAAGGTTGTATAAATCACATACAGTTCATATGTGTACTAATATAATATATTCAAAATGTATGCTTTAAGGACCCTCTGCAACCCAACTTCCGTGTACCTTAATTGGGGGAGGGGGAGTCTAATCCACCATTTTCTTTAGATTCTATAAAAAGAAACAAGATGTATGTTTGTAACTCTGATGTCCCGTATCGCAGCTTTTGGGAAAGGTTAAAAAGTTTCTCGAACCCAACTCAAACTCCAAGCTCAAGAGGTGAAAAATTTATAACCGAAATGTCAAGATCAAAGGGTGAAATTCATGGTACCCAGGAGAAGGCCTTGTCATAAGATTTTTTTAAAGTCGGTCGAACTCCAAGTCAAAACGTCAAAATTGTGGGAATATAATTGAGGATCTTGTCACAAAAAATGCATCTGTGAAATATGAATGTCTTAGTTTTGTCTGCTTAAAAGTTATGTCCTAGGTTAAAGTTTTTTTTTTTATTTCTTAGGTGGATTAAACTCGAGGGTCAAGGACAAAAGGTCCAAACCATTTATATATCCCCCCTTTTTTCAAAATTTATCACCAATTTTACCGTTTTTTAATTTCTTGCGCTCTAAGGACAATCAAAAGATCAAACATGCTGGTACATGTACCGAAGGAAAGGCTTTGTCACAAGAAATAAATGAAAACCATTGCTCCTACGAATAAAAAGTCATGGGCAAGGTTAAAGATTTTGCGAACAGCTAGACAAACAGAGTTTGACGGATATATCGAAGGACAGGACAAAATCTATATTAAAAGGAAATAAATTGTAATATTCATGTGTGTGAACTGCCTATAATGTGGTAAGCTTAAATGTTATTTTGAGAAGTTAAACATATATACAAGAGAGTTTTCTATGATTCTATAAAAAATTATCTATAAAATTTTATCATCACCCTAAAAAAAAACAGGGAACTATTTTTGAAAAGTAGTTCGTGTAATCAAAGTAGTAACTTGTGAACAAAAAAAAAATAACGAAGAAAACTTGGCAAAGAAAAAAAATGTATAAGATACACGGAATTGATGCGCAAAATTTGCATTATGGTGTACATACAGTCCACTGAGCGGATGCGTACATGGTGGGAGCCTACTTTTACCCAAATTCCTCTGCGAAGCTGTTTCTATCAATCCTTGATTATAAGGAAGACTGCAAACACAATTTATTTACAAAAGACTCTTTCTCGAATTCATATCTATATTTTTATTGATTTTGTACAAAAAATAAATTGATGGAAAATCTCGACGTTGTCGTTTTTATCCAATCACAGAGCACGGCGTGAAAAGCAGCTGGAGTGCGGGCCTGTCCTGATGCATTAATCACTAGCAGACACAAAATATACTAGTGGCAAAGTTAATTGGATGCTGTTGAGTAAATAACATCGACATTCCCTGGCAAACATGGCTATAGAGAAATTGCATCTTGAGGATGCGTTGGAAGATAGTCCACAGGTAAATCACGAATCGTCACCATCGCTAAATGATGTCAAAGTCAAGTGGGAGGGGTGATGTGCAGGGTGCACACAGCAGGGGTTTTATTCGCTAATGACAAATAGATATCGATCTGCGATTTTAATTTATCATTCTTCTAGTATAATCTGATTGCAAGAAGTTAAAGGGTTTTTGCGTCATGGCGTCTGAGATTTGCATAACATGAATTCGTTGAATTTCGATGTGGCAGTAAAATTTCAAGCTAAATTCTTGTTGACAGTACCCACTGGTACAAGTTTACATATACACATACAAATTTTTAGGGTTAACTCCATAAACTTGATAATATTTGCATATACCAGGTAGAATTATTTACGAAGTGCAAACTTTACTTGACTGTGCTGCAAGCAAATGTGTTAGACCCATGTATAAATAAAGAAGAATTGACCTGTTTAAAAAAGAAAATACATAAGAAACGGAAAAGAAGAGAAGGTGCAACAAAACCTTTTAGATTTTAAGACCCAGGGTCACTGAGCTCTAGAAAGGGCTCTACCACCTGCAATCCAATCTTAATACCACTGCATTTATTTCTCTAATTTTAAATAAACCTAGATAGAATGTTCTATCGTTAAAATGATATTGTCCTATGGACCCGGTTTAACGATAGAATTCGTTCCGTGTATTCGTAATGTAGCAGAAAGAAACATGGGCGATAACTCGCATAGTGCATTTACTTGGAACAATCTAAAGAGTTCCGAATGTAAACATGGCTGGTAATTTGAATCGCGAGAAAAACGTTGAGAAAATTAATTGGATTTTCATATTTATATGGATTATTTTTTGGGATAAAAGGCATAAGCAATCTCAAGAAGGTTTGTTTCGATTATTTTGATAGTTATTCCCTGTGCAAATCATTTTATATTCTTCAAAATCGTTTCGGAGCGGATCCGCTCCAATTTGCTACATTACAAGTATATGGGACGTATTCTAACTGTGGTGAGGGCCTGTACCGAGACACAGTTAGATTATTCTAACTAAAATAAACCCTGAAGAAATTCATGAAGACATTCAGTCACTGACCAGTGTCTTTTGCCCTCTTATAATGTTAGATTAATTATCGCATCATTTTCAATATTAATAAGCTGATGGTGCCACCCTTATGGCAATCGAAAATACCTTTTCAGTTTTAGTTTAGACCAGCTCTTCAAAGAGTTAGTGACATTTTGTATGTCTATACTCTAATGTCGCATGATGTAAGTTAACTTTTTTACCAACGCAGAGCAGTTAAGGTTAAAGTAAGACGACAGGGTCTTATTTGTACGGGAAATGTTTACTATGACGTCACACAAAATATATAGTCTTTAAAATACCACAAAATGAACTTATTTGCTATTTCAAACAGCTGGATAGCTGTATACTACATACAATCTTACTATTAGGCCATAATAATAATAATCCTAGATTCTCATTCCCGCCCGCTCCGATTTTATACCCCCGCCTCGATTTTTTTAATTTCTGTTTTTCTTTGACTTAATTCTGATCAGGATTGGTATTCATCTACCATTCTACTTTTGTTTTAAATCCGCAAATTCGACATGATAAGATGATTTTGACAGCTCAAAAGATGGTAATTAGTGTAATACATGCATATATAATTTAAACAAGGGTCATTGGTTGAAAAAGATCGGTGATGATGTGAAGTAAGAGATAATTGAACCTTAACTATGACTTTTATTCGGGTATTGTAGATAAAATTACATCGATTGACCAGGTCAATTAAAAATCTGCAAAATTGAAAAATAAAAAATATATAATAAAAGCCACCCGCCCGCCTTGATTTTTAAAAAAATCCGGATGAGAATATAGCTTTTTATTTATTATGGCCTTACAGGCTTACATGCAGTTTTGTCATTTGTTAAATCCCACACAACAGTATATAAACGATGCATCGATCGCAATGCACTTGTCAATGTGACATCATCTCTCAAAAATGAAGCAGTTTGTACACAGTGAAACGCTGATCAAGTCACATTTGTACAATGAAAAATGTCTTTTGTTTTCAAATGAAATATTATTTGCAATTAAATAAAAGGCCTTAACTTGGATGCGATGTCTATTTTAGTATTTTATTCATAAACTGTCCGTACATTCTCGAGACAAGTTATACTGTTGTGTGTTTGTATGCAGATTCATTGAAAAAGTAATGGATGAGCCCTAATAAATCAATTTATTGCAAGGGCATATCTTTAATATATCTTGTCAAGTTTTTACACATAAACTCTAGAAGCATTAAGATATTTGAAAAGTGCTGCAAACCTCATGAAATCTTGCAAATAAATTAATTATATCTATAATCAATGTAGTTGACCAGCAAAATATTCAACCTACCGTCCATGTAATAAAATTTTAGCAATTAAAAAAGGGAATCTATATAGGTTTCCAGCACTTTTCACAAACTTCATACAGTGTTGAAAAGGATTATAAATTAAACTAAGATTTTTATCTTAGTTATGCCTTTGCAATATTGGAATTTATAGATGACCTCTAAACTGCAAGTTTTAATTGCTAAAATTATGTGACGTTGATATCGTGACAAGCCTAAATAAAAAATCTAAATGTCCCCGAAATGTAGATTTAAACCACATCACATATTTTGATATCAATGAAGCACTAAAAAGAATCACCCATCCTAATAAAGTATGTATTTTTTATCTTAAAAAAATCTCCTATATTTCCATTTGTAACCTTAACTGTGCTGCGAAAGCAAAGTCTGGACAGTCAGAGTTCAATTGTTAAATTTAATTTGATGTATTAAATTATAAATATATGTCAATTTTTTTATTCCATAGTGTTATTATTAATGTTCCAATTTTTTTTTTTCAGACCCGTAGTCTGCTATCAGTGTTTGAGAAAGATGCTATGGCCCTAAAGAAATACACAACAGGTCTACACAACTGCTGTCAAAGAATCATGAAAGCTCAGGCAAGATTTTTTCTTTTTCTTTTGATCTTATACATTATCTATTATATTTTGATTTACTGCTGTCATGAGATAAGAGTCCTTATAAGTTAAAAAATGTACAAAATGCTTTTTATGGGCACATTTTGATAACCGACCACCTTCTATATGCAAATATACACATCTTTCAAAAATATATTCTAGTTCTTCACTAGTATTTTATGAGCAATTAAATGGTCCTTCAAAATAACTCTTCTCTTTTTGGGGCATTTTAGTAAAGCATGTTTAGTAAGGCCCTTCAAAATACTGGACACTAGTCTTTGAAGTTGTTCTGTTGTCATAGTTGTTGCATGGTTCAAATTCAGTTTTATGTCTCTGTTTATTAAAAATCAATTCTTTTTTTTTAGAATGAATTGTGTGCAGCCACGCAATCATTATCACAACACCTGAGGGATTTTGAAATACAGGTATCTCAAATTTTACAGTCACATTGCATGTGTAAATCGTATCTGAAGTACCTACAATGTTTATCAAAATAATTTCATGATTCCATTAAATTTGAGAGATGGGCTGAAGTTAGTGTTTCTCAAATAAGTTAACATTAAGTCAGACTTAAATTTCATTTTTTGCATCAAGCGTCCATGATCATGATGATAATAAGGAATATGATACCATATATGACAAGCACCCTACACATGATATATTGCTAGGCTATATGGTTTTCTTTTCCAGAAATTCCCATTAGAATCTGATGACAGTGTATTAAGTTCTACCCTGAAACAATTCTCTAGTTATCTAGATGATGTAAGTATAATAGACAACTTTCTATGAACTGATCAAAACTTTTAAAAACGCTTTTTATATGATGTAATGGATTCATATACAGGTAAATCCAAATACAACAATATTTTCGGAGAGATAAAGTTACTTACATGTATATGAGTAGTTTTGAACAACAAGTAAATCTCTTTAAAGTCGACCATTAAATAAGAAACTAAAGATGACTTTTTTATAAATTGTAGACTTAAAAATCTTTTAACATTTTTTTATTTGCAGAACAGAGGTTCTTGGGATGAAATATATTTCTTTCATAATAAATTTATTGTTTAAAGTCTTGATTGTATGATTTATTTTAATTCCAGGTGAGCTCTATACAACAGGTTCTTTCTGCACAGTTCTCAGAGACAATGATGTACCCTTTGTCTAGATTTTTACAGGCAGATTTAGAAGGTATGTCTTTCATATAGAAATGTTGTAAAATATTTAGGTCATCCAGTTTTTTGGTTCATCTGGTTACACATTTTGAAGTTGAACATATAGATAATTGATTCTCAATTAATTTTATTGTAACCCCCCTTCTTTTACTCCCATTAAGGGGATTGAGAGTAATACTTGTAAAATTTACTTATAAATTACACTTATAATTCATTTCTTGATGGTTAGTTTGTGTTTGTTAATTAAGGGAAAATATCTTGAAAGAAAACATTTACAGTTGCTGCCATCATAATAATAGTCATCACTGTATATAGTCACATCTTTATGACTCTTTTCTTTTTTCAGAAGTAACAACGCTATGTGAGATGTTCCAATTAGCAAGTAATGGTATGCACATCTCTTTTGTTATGTTTTTTAAGTCAATAGTATTGATAAAAAAAGTAAGATTAATGGTATATAAAACAGTACACTAGACTGATCTAGAATTTTTCAACTGGTACATTTATGATTTTCATCCAAAAGAAAAATGAGAAGTTATTCACAGATTGTTGCATAGGGAAAGCATTGTTCCTACAGCTGTGTAATTCAGAGAGAGCTCCTAAAGGAAGATACTGTTGTTATCGAAATCTGAAATGTCAATTATGTCATTTTAGTATTCATCCTTCTTCCTGACTAAGAATGTTGTTCTGATGTTCGTTTTCTGCTGCAAGACAGCCATGTTTGGTGTCCACTGCTGGTTAATTCAGTCAAGGGCTATTTGACCCTCATTATTTAGGCCTTTATGGTAAATGAATGCTTTAAACTAAACACTTTATTATGTATCAGTATTTGAATTTGTACATTGATACATAAGCCTAAAAAAAAAACTCAACCAACCATCCCTTAATTTTGTCTCTGCTCATAGGATTTGCTGCGTGTTATCTTTGCTTGAAAGAATACAGAAGACATCTTTTGACATTCCAAAAATGTCTGGCATACATTTGTAATACCTAAAACACAACTTCTGTTATCTTACCAAATTGTAAACAATTTCACATAAGTTTTTGTTTCATTTGATATTTTATTTGAGCGACCTGAATTTCATTCTGGCAACCTATACACGTGATTAGTACCAAGGTTGCCCAAATGGTGAGACCAAATTTTGACGAGTGTTGGACCCTGTAGTAGGTACATTGATTGATTTCTGTTGTTTTCCAAGTCTTCTGTAGAACATGTCAGTGCCATGAGCTGGTACATGCTGATTAAATTCTGTTGTTTTTCTCTGTTGTTTTCTACAGAACATGACAGTGCCATAAGCCAGTACATGCTGATTAAATTCTGTTGTTTTTGGCTCAGGTGAGCTTTTCTGATCATATTTTGTCCGTCATCCGTCCGTCTAGCTGTCCGTCCGTCCTGTAAACTTTTCACATTTTCAACTTCTTCTCAAGAACCACTGGGCCAATTTTGACCAAACTTGTTACTAGGCATCTTTAGGTAAAGGGGAATTTAAATTGTCAAAATGAATGGCCAAGTCCACTCACAAGGGGAGATAATCAAGAAAAGTCAAAAATAGGGTGGGGTCATTAAAAAATCTTCTCTTCAGGAACCACTGGGCCAGAAAAGCTGAAACTTATGTGAAAGCATCCTGGGGTAGTGTAGATTCTAAATTGTTCAAATCATGATCCCCGGGGGTAGGGTGGGGCCACAATGGGGAATCAAAGTTTTACATAGAAATATATAGGAAATATCTTTGAAAATTGTCTTCTCAAGAACCACTGGGCCAGAAAAGCTGAAACTTATGTGGAAGCATCATTGGGTAGAGGAGATTCTAAATTGTTCAAATCATGACCCCCAGGGGTAGGGTTGGGCCACAATGCGGAATCAGTTTCACATACAAATATATAGGAAAATCTTTTTAAATCTTCTTCTCAAGAACCACTGGACCCGAAAAGCTGAATCTTATGTGGAAGCATCCTGAAATAGAGTAGATTATAAATTGTTCAAATCATGACCCCCGGGGTAGGGCGGGGCCATAATGGGGAATCAAAGTTTTAAATAGAAATATAAAGTAAAAATCTTTAAAAATCTTCTTCTCAAGAACCACTGTGCCAGAAAAGCTGAAACTTGTATGAAAGCTTCCTGGGATAGAGTAGATTCTAAATTGTTCAAATCATGACCCTCGGGGGTAGGGCGGGGCTACAATGGGGAATCAATGTTTTGCATAGAAATACCTGGTATATAGAAAAATTCTATGAAAATCTTCCTTTCTATAACCACTTAGCCAGAAAAGCTGAATCTTATGTGGAAGCATCCTGGGATAGTGCAAATTTCAAATTTTCCAAATTATGAGGGGTAGGGTGGGGTCACAATATGTATTACAATGGGGAAATCTGGTAAAGAAGAGCATGGTCAAAGCTTCTCAGGTGAGCGATGTGGCCCATGGGCCTCTTGTTCTCTGTTGTTTTCTATAGAACATGACAGTGCCATGAGTCGGTACATGAGATTACCTAAGAAGAAGGATAGCGAGAGACACAGACAAGAATGCGGAGAAGAACTCTACCTCATGAGGAAGAAATTTCATCAGGTTAATAAGTGTATTGTGTGAACTTATAGATGTACAGAAATGATAGGTCAAGTCCTTGATTTCTTTCCTGGTTTATTTGGAGTAAACAGTCAAGTACTTAATAACATTACAGGAACATCTTATCAACTATATACTTATACATTCAGTGTTCCAGGAAGCATTAATTAATTGTGTATAATAAAAACAAAGTCAATATACATGTATACAATCATATTGTACATGTAGGATGAAGTCTTCATGTTTGATACATATCAAGCTCTGTATAACATCGAATTGAATTTTTTTGTCTAAGACTAAATGATCCAGTTTATATATTAAGATACTAAGACTTTGTACAAAAATTAAATTAATAATTCACAATTATATTTTGAATGAAACTTCCTGATGATCATGTCACTGCCTTCTTTTTAGACATCTTTGCACTACTACTCCAGTCTGAATGCTCTACAGTACAAGAGGAAGTGCTCTCTACTGGAGCCCATTATGGGCTACCTTCATGCCCAGAGAGCCTTCTTCCAAATGGGCCAAGATGCAGTGGGCAAGAAAGAGATTGAAGACTTTCTGAATAATATCTCCACCAGTGTACAGGGGTAATGTACCAACATCAATACATTAAAATAATTGTAAGATATTTTGTCAATTATTGTGGCAAACATTGCGCAGACTTTGCAATCAAATTAGAGTCTTAGTCCTTATTTAGCTCACCTGAGCTCAAGACTCAAGTGAACTATTCTGATCAAAATTTGTCCATTGACATTGTAAACTTTTCATATTTTCATCTTCTCAAGAACCACTGGGGCAATTTCAGTTCAAAGACGTTCCTGTTTTGAAGACTTTAAGGCCTGTCTATAATTTTCTACAAACATTTCAGAGTTCAGCAAGAGATGAAGACAGAGACCAAGAAGACAGTGGAACTGATTGACACACTAGAACAACAGAGTGCTCACCTGTATCACGCGGAACCCATGGTGGACATGCCATATATCCCTCCCAACACTAATCTGACTCAGAAGGCAGGCTACCTGTTTGTGAGGAGGTAAGTACAGGTGCCTACAGGTGTATATAATCCCCAACACTAACCTGACACAGAAGGCAGGCTACCTGTTTGTGAGGAGGTAAGTACAGGTGTCTACAGGTGTATATACCTCCCAACACTAACCTGACACAGAAGGCGGGCTACCTGTTTGTAAGGAGGTGAGTACAAATGTCTATAGATGTATATAGTTCTCAAAACCCATCTAATTAACTACCTTCCTTAGACCTTGTCTTGTGTTAGCATCTTTTCTGCATTTAATGTATGTGTATATCTGTATGTGTTTTAATTTGCAAAATTCAGAGGAAAAGGAAATTTAAGGATAAAACAAATGGGTCATAGATTTACATAAAATTATTTTATAGGCCTATAAGATAAAATATATATTGGATTATTTTCTTCTTAAAAACTGGCTCTAAGATTACACTTTGTAAAATGATTTTAAGTAAATAAAGTTTATATATGTTGCATTTAGACCCAAATTTACATTCTATTTTAACAATAATTGACACATCAACCTGCAAGTTTGAACCATTTACATACTTGAAGATCAATATGAGCAGAAAGATTTTCTACAGTAGATTGATCATCAAATTTTTGTGACACAATACATTATTTTTGAAGGATTAATTGTTCTCCAGTCGTCATGAAAAAATTCTCATAGGATAGAATCTCGTAGCAAAATGAATAGGACTGCATTTCAGGCTTTAAATGTTTGTAAATATTGAATGTGGAATTTAACCCTTGATATAGACTGCATGTTATTATACATTTTACAGAAAGTCTGCAATTGCAGTGTGGTGTTTACATACATGTATTTTTATGTTCAATTCTAACATGTGTTATTTAGGTGTAATTATTAAAATATCTCACCTTAATCATTTTTGTCAAATCTTACTAACAAGAAGAACATTTTCCAATGCATTTTTAGAGGGAAACACATACAAATGCCTGGCCCCATTGGGTAAGCTTTGTCATCAGCCACCTTTGTTGGACTTTCTCTTTTCTCTTATTGTTCTATGGTCAAGTAGTCATAGTGTTTGTGATAGTTCAATCTGTGAATTTTTAATATTAAATGTATATACTAAATATAGATACTCTAAATTAATTGTGTGTATTTGCTTGTGAACTAGTTACTAGGGAAGCTTTGCCTTGTGGAGATTTAATTCTTAAAATACATGATGCTGTGGATATTTTTTTAATTGTGTGATACTTATATGATTATGTTTTTTAAACTACTCTAACACAAAAACATCACAGTTATAAATATGATGGAGAATTTATACAGGATATAGAGAGTATATTGCACAGTTTTCTTTATGCTAAATTACAGCAGTGCATTAAATGTACATAGTGAGCTCAATATTATGCACCTGTCAATTTTTCAGTAATTGGAAAACACCTTTGGCCTTTCTTTCACATCTTTGCACATGTGAATTTCTATTAAATCTGCAAGTTACAGATGTAGCTTTTATTTATTGTTTGCACTTTCCATTTGCAAATTGTAATATTTTTTGGGGATATTTTCTTTTTAATTGTGCTGCCTCTGTTGCTCCATTTAATAAAGTATGTCATTTCATTTTTTTCAGCAAGCAGCTGATAGCTACAAAGTGGGAGCGCTGTTTCTTCTTCACAGTGGGCGGTAACTTGATGAGTCAATCAAGAGACCAGGTAAATTTTAAGAATTGTCATTTTAAACTGTGTTCAGAAAATAGTGGGATAGCCATTAAATATTGTGCACTAGCTAAGGTCTAATTTGAAAAATAAACTAGATATGCCTGTGTCTGTATTCATACTCTACTGGTCATAGACCAAAAGAGCTTTTGTCATAGTTAGTTGTCTGTTGTCCATTCATCTGCAGCTCTGTCTGTTTGTCTGTCTGTAAACTATTTTTCAAAATGCTTCTTTTTTTTTACAGTTTTGTTCTGATTTCAGTATAATTTGGTACACAAATAGACTATACACTAAGATGCATAATGCTCTTTCTCTGTTTTTGATTTTGATAAATTATCTACAAAAAAAATTCTGTGAAATCCCAAAAACGCTATTCCTCATACAGTTTTTGTTCAAGGCTCACAAGTTGACTACACTTTGAAACATAATGCTTTTTTCGGTTTTTGATTTTGATGAATGATGTTGCTATGGCTACTTAAAAAAGAAATTTTCTTTAAAATTCTGACAAAAGGTTACTCCTCCCATAGTTTTTGTCTGATTGCAGTAAGTCTTGCAACGAAAGAATTTAACTAAACCCCATGTATAATTTTTTCTATTTGTTGCTGTTTCAAATTTTCATGCTTATAAAGTGCTACTTTTTGATTACCAGCTTCGTAAAGTACAAATCAGTAGAGCTACAGTCTCATTAGAGATTTCTGGTTATTAATAAAAGTAATTATAGATTTGATTTTAAAAAATTAAACATTAATATGAGTTTTTATTTCCTATCTAGCTTGTAACACGAGCTTTGATTGGTTACAAAGTCGGGTGTAAATATCCGTGCACCCGACTTGAGCCGGGTGTAAATAAACGTGACGTCACAATGCATACATTCTCTATGATAAAAACTGAAAATCATGTTTGCAAAGCATTTTTATGGGTACAAAGGAAATAAATTCGTTATCCAGGTCCAATCAAGAGTGTACGGGGATTTTCCCCGGGTTGTATTCCATACACCCTTCGGCCTTCGGCCTCAGGGTGTATGGAATAAAACCCGGGGTAAATCCCCGTACACCCTTGATTGAACCTGGATAACTAATAATATACCGTCAAGTTTTATTAATCTGGTTGCTTGTGATACCGATCAAACTGCGCGGATTAATGAACCCACCATACAATAAATTATTATTACATGTACATGCATTTAGCTTTTACTTAATAAATGTAACTAAATGAGAAACATCAGGTCACCACAGATTTTGTCTGGAAGCTGAAGCATACAGATTATAAGCTTCCATATTAAGAAAGCTTCACTGTATATTCAAATTCATGGTTACAGTTTTAAAGGTTTAACTCTACTGCAAAAGTCACCTTTAATCATGTCATATGTTTTGCACCTGACAAGCAAGAAATATATATTGACTGATATTTTTATCATACCCTAGCTGGTAATGATTTTTTTTTCTTTTTAAGCTTTTTTTTCCTGTCAATAAGTAAAAGTTCACCTAAGATGTTTCTGCTATTGTCAAGCAAAGCTTGCTTTATTTTATTTATAAGTTTTTGGCTTAAACAATATAATTTGATTGTCTTACAAACTTCTGAATTATATACCATATACTGTATCTCTGGTATTTGATACAAGAAGAACTTTTTTTCCAATCGTTTCACCAAGTCACGTCTTGATTTACAGGTTATTTCCACTAACACAAAGCGAGTAAGCTATTAACCCAATGATAAATGTCAAGCATTGAATCTTTCCCTCTGACGCACTCCATTGTTTTGTTCGTTTTGATTTCCATTAATTGTAACCTTGCATTCAAGCACCATGAATTCCATGCACAAGTTGTCTTTGTATATGACATGTATACAATATGTTGTGTCCATAATTTGTCAATACTATATGTGTAGTTGGGGGGCTCATTTCAGTTTATACAAGTCATGTGAGCATTTACGACAATTTTTTTATAGAACATAATTAATTATTGCCACTATGAATGTATATTCTGTATATTGTCACTTTTGTCTGCTGAGCGGCCAAGAGGTTTAGAGTATTAACATAAATTGTAATGTGTTTTTTCTTTAATTAGAAATAAAAAATAAATAAAATTAATGTGTATTGATATGAGTATGTGACTGTATGCCTGCAGTATACATGTGTTTCAAAATATGTAACTTGATGGTGAGATTGAATATAAACACTGTAGACATAATAGAACTAAGGTAGACTTCTTTACGCATGTTATGTAAGGACATAATATGTTTTAGATTACTATTTCGTGCATTATTTTAACCTTGAGTTTTCCATTTTGACATGTGGGAATGTGAGTTTGCCTATGAAAGTAACTCATTTATATCTAAAAAAAAAAGAAAAGAAAGAAAGAAAATTGAAAAAACAAAGGCAGATACTTGAAGTCTTGACTTGTGACATTTCAGTTAGCTGGGAGCTTGGTTCTGGATTTAAATGAACCTGGTGTGTTAGCAGAACCTCATGAGTCAGATGATAGACGTTTTATTTTCCAAGTCGTATCACCAAAAACTAAAAGGTATTGTACTATCAGTAATTTAGTTATTTAAACTTTAATTTTGGTTTGTTTTAAATTTTGTCTTTATCAACAAGGTTGACTTAATTGAAATATTGATCATTGCTTTTGATAGTGCATTAAAAAAAGTTATGGAATCAAAGGTACAAAATGGTATTAATTAAATGCACTATCTGATAATTTATATAAATTCATGTATATGTATCTATCTTCAGAAGAATTTGTTTTTTATATTTTGAATTATTTCAACTGCATGTTTAGAAAATTTATATTTTGTTCAAATACTTTGATATTAGATAGGGTCAGTTATGTGTATACAATTTCCATTTAGGTCAACTGTGAACTTGTTTTCTCAACATTTAATTGACCACTCATTTTTTTCAGAAATATAGTTTTACAAGCTGAAAATGAAAGAGAAAAGGATGAGGTATGTTATCTAGTGATATCTGACTTTTAATACTAATTTTTGGATTAATCTGTATAAAAGGTTAAATGTTAAATTAAAACATTTTAATGTTAAAAGGACAGAAACTGTGAAGGATGCTTCTTTTGGATATGCCCTACTCAATATATTTTTTTTTCAGTGGATCTGCACACTTAATAACATAGTGAGGGAAAGTGGATATGTAAAAGACAAAAATCCACAAGTCAAACCAAAGGTATATAAGTCCTAATTAATGAATGAAGCAATATATATATAGTGCACAATAAAAATAATTTTCTTTTCGATTTAAGAGAGAGATTTATTTTGAAAAAATATTTTTGATGATGGGATATAATTTTAGGAGAGGACTTCAAGCACTAGCAGTGCATCAAAACAAGGTTCTATCAGTCCTGACCAGTCAAGTTCAAGCAGGTACTTATAAGTATCACAACAGTGTACCCACTATTTACATACGTGTATTGTGCAAGTGAATTGAAATTATTGTAGCATAGATTAGCATTAAATTACACTTTCGATCAAAGCTTGAATGCAAAGTTTTTAAAAACCCCCCAAAAATTTAGTTCCTAATTTTGGAAGTGATATACGTGTGCATTTTCATGCATGCATGGTTCCACGATTTAATTTTCTCTTTGAAATTCATGAAGGTTTGCTGCATGCAAAAGAAAAGTACATGTCCTTTTTAGTCTGAGAATGCATGGCTACAGTGTACCAAGTGAACCATTATTTTTTTGTCTAAAAAGTTGCTCATCATCCAAGCACTAAAAAACACCCGGATTTAACATAATTAACAGGAAGCTAAGAATCACTTAGTAATGGATCTTGTATCATTCAGATAGTCATTTCTTACAAATGAAACTCATCTGACAGCTCATAATCAATAGATTTAGTAGGGGATAGAGAGGATTAAAAACCCAAATGATGATATAACTGAGCAAGTTACATAATAATAGTATAGTGGAATATACAGTGTATCTGTGCACTATGCATGCTTGATTTCTGTCCTTTCTGTATATCAAGTATGCATGTCATTTGAAATTAAAAATTTTCCTTTTTCATCAGATTCTCTGTAGGAATATCAATTAATACCTTTAAAGTTTACTTGTACAGTTTGTTTGAATTTAAGATTAATGTAACACCACACTGATTTTTTTGTTGACAATAAGATTCAAATATATTGTTTTCATTTATACTTTTGTAAAATTATCAAATTATTTTAATTCTTTAAATCTATTTATTACCGTATATCAGGATTTTTCCGCGTGTATCCAATTTCCGCTTTGTTCACGACGAGTTCTGAATCGCAGAAAATAAAACAGCGTAAATTTAATACAAAGTTTTCTTCTTGTAGTAGATTTATTTTTTAATGTATATATCATAGAGGGTAGAGATAGCGGGATCAGAGAACAAGCGCAAGATACCGGTAATAGGTACATGTATAAGCCATTATTGTTTGTTTACTAATTGACAAGCTACCTAATTATATGAGTCACGTACCTTGCGAGAAGCTATTCAACTAATTATACCTGAGCTGCTGGTCAGTTTGGAACAGTAAATGACCTTTGATTGTTTAAATCTTAAAAAAAAATAATATCTGTGGTTTTGATACTAGTAGTTAGTACGCAGCACAGGTGTGTAATCAGCTGAGCGGGTCTTCCGAAATTGACGAGGTGAAGGTCGATCGATCTATTTCTGACCCGTATGAAGTAGCTCAAGCTTAATGAATTTACATTTTACATCCAATTCCTTCAAAGGCTTAAACAATCGTTAATAATATAATCACTGGGACTTTGAAATAGTGAAAATTTGATTCGCGTAAATTTAATATACCGATTTAGGTTCTGATTCGCGGAAAAAACATGACGCGGAAAAAACCTGATATATGGTATATGCAAGACATTTCTGTAGCAATTTCTGTTTCACACTGAGTCAATATTTTTAATCAATAGTATATAGGCACAATCCAATATATACATCTTAATTCATTTGTACTTTTGTTTTCACTAGTTTTGAAGTCTTTTGTGATGTGTATTATTTGTTTTTTTTGTTGTGTATTTTTCACCTCTTCACAGCATGACCAGTACTGGGGCGGTCCCTAAAACCCCCGCCCCCACCCCCTCCAGCTCGTTTGTGGCTGATGCTCCCATTCAGTTTGATCTGTTATCTCCCAACAGCCAGAACGGTGGAGTCACATCCAGTCTGCCAGGCCCACCAAAGTTAGTGTCTGCATGTAACTATGCCATTTCTTTTTTAATTCTCACCACTTTATAGAAAGTTTATGTTACCATTATATGACTTAATTGATATTTCTTTCAGGTGCATGAGTCACTATAAGAGACTTACAGTGTACATTGCTGTCTGTTAAGGGTCCCCCCAAAAAATATGGTTAAATAAGTGATCCTCTTCTTTTCCAATTTATTTGAATAATTATGTGAGGTTTTTTTTGTTGAAACTGGAAGCAATAATACATAACACATTCACAAACATTTAGGCCTGCAGGTATAACTCTAAAATGAAAAGAATTTTAATTCAGCATATTTTTGAAAACTCATACATATATGCATGAATATTGGGCCAGCTAAATATTAAATAATAAATTATTATGTTGTATTAATTAATTAAAATAATATTTTATTGCAGCCCTGAAGCGTAAGGAATATGTCACCAAACTCCTGTTGTAATTTTGCATGAGTAGTCCATGCATGAATTGGCATTGTTTGGTTGTTTTGTTTTTAAATGCCCATTTAAAAGAAGATAGTGTTTTATTAGTTGGAGCAAGCTAGAGCTTTCATATCTATCATATTTATTCCTTGTGAAAGAAATTCCTTTGCTTTTTGACCTCTTGATTCGAGAGTTTGACCCCCTTTGTAAATTTTACCAAATTTTAACATTTGTATCAGTGTTTCACAAACACGTCTTGTTTTTTTTTTTTAATTGTTTATGGGGGGTGTTCTTGAATTGATTTTTATTTGTTATGTATAAAGTCTTCAGGTTGTATCAATTAATTTGAAACATACAGGTACAAATGTTATTTAGAATGACCCCAATAATTTTTTTCATTAATCCATTATATGCAATAGCATTTCATGCTCTTTTAGAAACCAGAAGATGTACTTTTTACAACTGCATTGTATACTGTAAATCACTTTTTATTCGCGAGAACCTTATTTTCGCGTAATTACGCGAAACGGTATGCTCGCGAAAATTTAATTCTCGCGTATAATTGCATTCCTTAAGATTATATAGAGCAATAACCACAATTCGTGAAAATTATTTCTCGCTTATCAAGCCTCAATGACAATCTCGCGAAAATAAGGTGTCGCGAAAATTTAGTGATCTACAGTAATGAAAACTAGCAACAAATTATTTAAAAATGTAGGCATTTACATTTTTTGAAAGCTTTGCTTTGTTTTTGAGTTGACTAGAAAATGTATGTATCTGATTTTTTTTTTTTAAAGAAATGTGTTTAGGGTGATCACTAGAAGCTAGATATAATTTTAATGAATGGCAATCTAATGTTGTAAAATTATTTTTTAAAAAAACAAAAAAAGGTAGTCAAGGTAAAATTTTCATGAATTAATTGCTTTTAGTAAGATTATGTCTTTTTTTTTTGGGAGGGGGGGGGGTGTATTTAATTGGTTAAATATGTGTATGCACGACTATACATCTCAATACATTTATAATAATAGACTTTTCAACATGTATTAAATTACTACTTAATACAATGTTCGATCATAACCTATTAAGAATATAAAAATTCATATATTATTCAATCCAAAAATCAGTATGTTTCAGTTACAGTTGAACTTCGGTATCTTGAACAAGGATGTCTGGAATACCATGGATATAATGTCAAAGTCATTTTGAAGTCCAAACTACTTGTACCTTTACCCAAGATATTTCGAATCCTCTGTAATCTCAAAATTTCTTCTTTGTCCCTTTGAGTTCGAGATAATGATGTTTGACTGTATTTGTATAGCATTCCATAGCTATTTAACAATATATTCCTTTTTTCCCACTGTAGGAGGATCAACCCCTTTGATCAGTCAGCCAATGAAGTGTTGGATTCACTGGATTCAGCCATTGACAATGCAACTTTTGTGGAGAGTTTTGTTGTTAGATTTTTGGGGTCAATGGAGGTTCCCACTGATAGAGGTAAGAAGACCCCTCAAGATTCTCAAAAAAGATTCTCAAAAAAAATGTGCCTCATGCAATTATATCTGCTGGCAAGTAATAATTTTTTATCCATCTCTGTTCATCAGATGCTTTTTCATATCCTGAGTAATCATCATCCTTAATTCAGAAAATGAACAGGAATTTGGAATTATACAACAACTACAGTATCCCACACAAATATGAAATTCAATGTTTAACTTTGTCTCGACCCGTCCAGCATACAGTAACAAGTTTAAGAAGAATGACCACCTGCATCTTTTGAATATTATTGTGCATGAGAAGATGAAAAACAGAGTTTTCTTAAATATGTTTTACTATGATTTAGGAGAGAGGCTAGTACAGGAAACAATGCGACAAATCATGGCAGCTCGGGCAATACATAATGTATTTAAAATGACAGAATCTAGGCTGGTAGTATCCAGTGAATGTATGAGGTAAGACCAAAGGCATGGTTACTATGGAATTATTTTAAATTTCTTTTGGCAAGGAAAAAAAAATATCTGGATCATGGGGATAGACATAACTTTGAGAGCTTTTGTATATACATGTGTACAGAAATTAACTGTTATTGATAATGGTGATTAAATTTGGGGGATAAGGGTGACTCTCCACCTGCAGGAACATTGGTCCCCCATGAACAATGAAGATTCTACACTGATCGAGTCAAATGTTATGTTACATGACTTAATGTTTCACTGGAAAGCCATGGTACATTGTTATTGTTTGATATGTGACTGATTAAAAAATTTTTTTCCTATAGTGATAAAGTATGTTTGTAAATATTCTGTATTCCTAGATTGATAGATCCTTCAAACAATACAGTAAGGACCCAGTTTGCATTGGCAGACATTTCGTTTTGGGCAGCACATCCAGAAAACACAAGGTAATATATGTATAAAGAAATAACCCCACACAGCCATCTCTACTTATAATTCATCTACATGACTGTATGTTTCATTCAAGATTCTGTTACATTACAGTGAAGGGTTTGTAATTGAGGATAAGGCTTAAATTTTTAAAACTATTAAACCTGATCCTTTTTAGCTCACCTCAACGAAGTTGGGGGGAGCTTATGTGATACCCTCGGCGTCGGCGTCCCGGGTTAAGGTTAAGTTTTTTGGAGCAGTTTTCTTTTTAAGTACTTCTATGTCCTATATTGATTAGACATGCATGTAAGATGTTTCTAATGTGTTTCATTGTACCAGTCAAAGTTTCAGATGCTGCAGTTTCAGCAAAGGAATCACCAGGTTAATGTTTTTGGTGCAGGTTAACATTTTTGGTGCAGTTTTTGGTGTAGGTCTCATTTCCAAGTAACTATAAGCCCTATGTTGACCAAACTTACATGGATGGTACATCTTAGGATGCATACTACCAGACTTGCTTCGGATGCTGAATCTGACCTACATTTTCCGGTTGAGTGAACAGGTTAAAGTTTTTGGTTCAGGTTTCATTTCAAAGATACTATGAACCCTATAATGACCAAACTTGCATGTATGGTACATCTTAGGATGCATACTACCTGACTTGCTTGGGATGCTGAATCTGACCTACATTTTCCGGTTGAGTGAACAGGTTGAAGTTTTTGGTGCAGGTTTCATTTCGAAGATACTATGAACCCTATAATGACCAAACTTGCATGGATGGTACATCTTAGGATGCATTCTACTAGACTTGCTTCGGATGCTGAATCTGACCTACATTTTCCGGTTGAGTGAACAGGTTAAAGTTTTTGGTGTAAGTCTCATTTCCAAGTAACTATAAGCCCTATGTTGACCAAACTTACATGGATGGTACATCTTAGGATGCATACTACCAGACTTGCTTCGGATGCTGAATCTGACCTACATTTTCCGGTTGAGTGAACAGGTTAAAGTTTTTGGTTCAGGTTTCATTTCAAAGATACTATGAACCCTATAATGACCAAACTTGCATGTATGGTACATCTTAGGATGCATACTACCTGACTTGCTTGGGATGCTGAATCTGACCTACATTTTCCGGTTGAGTGAACAGGTTGAAGTTTTTGGTGCAGGTTTCATTTCGAAGATACTATGAACCCTATAATGACCAAACTTGCATGGATGGTACATCTTAGGATGCATTCTACTAGACTTGCTTCGGATGCTGAATCTGACCTACATTTTCCGGTTGAGTGAACAGGTTAAAGTTTTTGGTGCAGGTTTCATTTCCAAGTTTCTATGAGACATATAATGACCAAACTTGCATGGATGGTACATATTAGGATGCATACTACCAGTCTTGCTTCGGATGCTGAATCTGACCAACATTTTCCGGTTGAGTGAACAGGTTAAAGTTTTTGGTGCAGGTTTCATTTCCAAGTTACTATGAGACATATAATGACCAAACTTGCATGGATGGTACATCTTAGGATGCATATTACAAGACTTGCTTTGGATGCTGAATCTGACCTACATTTTCCAGTTGAGTGAACAGGTTAAAATTTTTGGTGCAGGTTTCATTTCCAAGGTACTATGAACCCTATAATGACTAAACTTGCCTGGATGGTACATCTTAGGATGCATACTACCAGACTTGCTTCGGATGCTGAATCTGACCTACATTTTCTGGGCGAGTAAACAGGTTAAAGTTTATGGTGCAGGATTCATTTCCAAGTAACTTTGAGCCCTATAATGACCAAACTTGCATGGATGGTACATCTAAGGGTGCATTCTACTAGGCTGGCTTCAGAAGCTGAATCTGACCTACATTTTCCGGATTAGTGAAAAGGTTAGTTTTTTATACAAGTTTCATTTCCAAGTAACTTAGAGCTCTATGTTGAACAAACTTGCATGGATGATACATCTTAGGATGCACACTAATGGACTTGCTTCAGATGCTGAATTCGACATACATTTTCCAGATAATAGACCTCGTAAAAGTTATGGGTGCAGGTCTATCACCAAGAAACTATAAGGCTTATATAAACCAAAGTTGCATAAATGATGCATTAAGGGATGAAAACTCTCAATCTTGCTTCAGATGCTGGATTTTAATTACATTTTCATGATGAAGAACTAGTTTTATGTTTTTTATATAGGTCTATTCCAAAGTATCAAAATTGCATAAATTTTGCATTTTTGGATGTACACTTTTTGTTGGTTAATTGTGTGACTTAATTTGCCATACTTAAAGACAACATTCGTTGAGGTGAGCTCTGTAATCTCTGATTACCTATGTTTTTGATGTAATGTTATACAGATTGTTTGCCTTCATCACTCGGACGAAGCCCCCCGGAGCCACCCAGTCCACATTCTCTTGCCATGTATTTGAGTGCAACATTTCTGCAGATGAGGTGAAAATTGCTTCATTTTTTTTTTTTTTTTTTTTTTCAATCAGTCAAGTTGAAATGAATATTTATGAAATGTAATGTGATATTAAGTGAACAAAATTGAATCAGCTCAATTTTGAGTTTTTTTTCATATTCATTTTTAGAAGTATTTATATCTTATATCAGTGTTATATGTAAAATTCCTTGATGATTTTATTCATATTCATTTTTAAAAATATTTATGTTAATTTATATCAGTGTTAAATATGTAAAATTCCTTGATGGAATTCTTTTTTTTTTCTTTTTCCAGATTTGTCTAGCTATAGGGACAGCAACAAAACTTGCATTTCAAGCATTAATGGTAAATAAAAATTAGATTTAATTTGTTTTTATTAAAGTTTTTAAAATTATGTCAACATCTTTACTGTTTTCTTAACAACAAAATAAGCATAGTCTTCCCCTTTAACTTTTCAAAATGATGAACTTCTTTATAAAACATAATTTATAAGTTTAATAATTTATTTGTACATACATAATATGAATGGATACATTTTAATACATGCAAGTTATTTTCATACAACTGTTAGAGCTGCATTTGCTATAATGCAGTATTTATGAAAAAAAAAAGTTTTTGAAAGGTGTTTTGTCACAACCATATGCACAAGTTTGTTGAAAATACTAATCTAACATTGTGCATTATACGTGTATAAATAAGTACTAATGATATGCTGTTGTGATTGGAGTGGCAGTAGATATAGCTTCTATAAAAGTATATGCAGTCATTCATTTTCATTTTAAAAAGAAGGATGGGGGAGGGGGGTGAGGAGGGAGCTCATATAATGATGATGTCAGAACATAAGCAAAGACAATGATGTTTTAACATGTCAATAGGACCATTTATTTACAAATAAAACAAAAATTATGTTAAAGTCATTTATTTATTATTGCATTTTAAGACATGTAAATTTAACAGATATGCATTCTTTATGTAATAGGCAATGCAGAAATATATTTATACATTTGTTTAGGTTTTGAAATTTTATATAGAAATCCATTTTGCAATATTTTTCTCACGCAGCTAGAACTTAACGGTTAAAGTTTGATCTGATAAGCTTAATTAAAATTTTGAATTATAAATGTTGACATCCCACCCAGAAATTTGGAAAAGCTTGATGTGCAGGGAACCTTTATCATACAGTAATAGAACACACTTGTCAAAGGAAACGTAATTATACCCCCCACAAACGAAGTTTGGGGGGGTATATAGGAATCACCTTGTCCGTCTGTCTAGCTGTCTGTCTGTCCGTCTGTCTGTGCAATCGTGTCCAGTCCATATCTTTCTTACAGAGGGACATTAGAATCTACTACTCCACACTAAGATTGCTCATGACCTAAGGGTGTGTCATGACCTTGACCCAAGGTCATTTGGGGAAGTTCAAGGTCACTGGAAGAAAAATTTCATAATTCGTGTCCGGTCCATATCTTTCTTATGGATAAACTTGGAAGGTTGTCATTTCACACAAAGATTGCCCATAACCCAAGGGTGTGTCATGACCTTGACCCAAGGTCATTTGGGAAAGTTCAAGGTCACTGGAAGAAAAATTTGATAATTCATGTTTGATACATATCTTTTATGGATAAACTTGGTAGGTTCTCATTTCACACAAAGATTGCCCATGACCCAAGGGTGTGTCATGACCTTGACCCAAGGTCATTTGGGGAAGTTCAAGGTTACTGGAAGAAAAATTTCATAATTCTAAACGGTCCATATCTTTCTTATGGATAGACTTGGTAGGTTCTCATTTCACACAAAGATTGCCCACGACAGAAGGGTGTGTCCTGACCTTGACCCAAGGTGATTTGGGAAAGTTCAAGGTCACTGGAAAAATTTCATAATCCGTGTCCGGTCCATATCTTTCTTATTGATAAACTTGGTAGGTTTTCATTTCACACAAAGATTGCCCATGACCCAAGGGTGTGTCATGACCTTGAATCAAGGTCATTTGGAGAAGTTCAAGGTCACTGGTAGAAAAATTTCATAATTCGTGTTCGGTCCATATCTTTCTTATGGATAAACTTGGAAGGTTCTCATTTCACACAAAGATTGCCCATGACCCAAGGGTGTGTCATGACCTTGACCCAAGGTCATTTGGTAAAGTTCAAGGTCACTGGAGGAAAAATTTCATAATCTGTGTCCGGTCCATATCTTTCTTATTGATAAACTTGGTAGGTTCTCATTTCACACAAAGATTACCCATGACCCAAGGGTGTGTCATGACCTTGAACCAAGGTCATTCGGAGAAGTTCAAGGTCACTGGTAGAAAAATTTCATAATTCGTGTTCGGTCCATGTCTTTCTTATGGATAAACTTGGAAGGTTCTCATTTCACACAAAGATTGCCCATGACCCAAGGGTGTGTCATAACCTTGACCCAAGGTCATTTGGGGAAGTTCAAGGTCACTGGAAGAAAAATTTCATAATTCGTGTTTGATACATATCTTTATTATGGAAAAACTTACTTCTGAAAAACCCAGCGGGGGGTATTTTGTCCCGTTTGGACAGTTCTAGTTAACCTTTGAAATAAATTAATATAGAAAACAACTCTGAGGTAAAAAACTCTCTCAACCCCACTTTTCCCAAACAATAGAAGAAAGGGTTATACTTCCATCTGTGTACTTGTTAACCGAAGCCTTCTTTCATATCCTTTATTTGTATACAAGACACATTCTTTTCTTTCAAATCTCCTGCCGGGAAAATGATAATTGATCATATTGGTAATATAATATAGTAATTTTTCTTTTGTCATCTGCATGACATTTCATGTATGGATCACCCCCGCTCTCTGTTTGGAGGGTATAGAGTTTTTCACAAGTTATCAGATATTTTCTGTAGTATCACATTTCCATTCAATGCTATCTATGACCACATTGGGATGGAATACTTCTGTCTACATTTTCTGCTCTCCTCTTTCAGGTTACAGTATACAATGGTTATGCTCATAAAGGTCATCTATGTATAAACTACTTTGAATATAGGAAACTTTGGTTTCATTAATTTTTTTGCATAGTTGAAATTTCCTATTTTGGTCAAGAAAGTAAAAAAAAAAATTAATATACATGTACAAACTAACTGATGGCCACATGATCCTATCCTCTCATCTGTAGATCAGATTGTAATTTGGTCACCTTCATTTATGATCTAACTCTGCAACCTTGAAAACAAGAAAATTCAGTGTTTATAAAAAAGAAATGAAACCACAGTATAATTATAAGTTGTGTATTGTTGAGAAATTGACACTATTTCCATACATCTCCTGTTCATTTCAGCAACGTAAGTTACCTCCAGGTGTAGGGAAGGCAAGTATTGTTTTACATGAATACCTGTAAAAGCAGCATATCAAATCGTACACTGCAATTACCTCCCCTTTATTCCAAAGGCTTTAAATGTATTCACAAACAGAGCAAAATTTATTGTGATCACACAATTTCAGGACAAGCATACTAGTGCATTTTAAATTTCAACATGTTAATTTTTAGACCTATTTAATAATCAGATTTTTTTAAGTAATTAACTTGCATGATTATTATATTCACTATTCTTATAATTGAAAGGTTAGTTTACTAAATCAATGAATTTTGTTTATATTTGATATTCAAATGATTGGGTATTAATTTGATGTTATAAAATTTCATGATATTTTCAAAGGTATTTACTGATATGCTGATTTTCTCATTTGAATGTATATATCAAGGTATTTGTGAAAAACAGACACTAGAAATGGGGGTGGAATATTTAATATTTACTCTTGTATTTTGTTCACATCTTTGTAAAACAAATTCATTTATCACATGTAAAAAATTCTTCAAATTTTTTTTTTTTTTTTTTTTTTTTTTTTTTTTTTTTTAAACAAAACCTTTTCTATAGGTATATCCATAAGCTTTATAGCATATTATTTAAGCACAGCCATTTGAGAAGCCTTGTTAACATGCAGCCTTTAATATATTAGTATAAGGTTAAAGAAAAAATACTTTAAATTAATTCATTATTTCCACCCATGATTTCTTTTGATATAAAGTTTATGTTAAGACATTTTTACACATTTTTCAGAAAAAGAAATTGTTGAAACTGTAAAATATAAGTCTTTATGAAACCACCGGAATCTAATAAAAATCTTCTTTTTTTTTTTCCTTGTCCTAAATTTTGTTGATGTTGTAATAGGTATATATTAAGATAAAGCATTGTGTATTCATTCAGAAAAAAAATAGTACCAAGACAAATTCTAAATGTATCTGTTATTTGCATGATGTACTAGTGTTTCAAAAATCAGTAAAAAAATTTGCCTTCTGATGATGCAGTGCAAGAAAGTTACTTTCTTGTTCTTTGGATATAGCATGTTTGCCACTGCAATGCATGAATATGACATTGTTTGCTATGTACAGTTTTTGACTTACAGCATGTAATTAAGAAAATAACATAGTACTTGTATTTGCATTATTTTGTGCAATATCAGAGGTGTAATGTTATATTGGTTGCATGAAACATTCTCTTATTTATCATTATTAAAAACAGAGCTTCAAATATATACCCTGACCAATTATATTTATATGTATACATATTAACACAAATTGTGTCTGCACAATGAATAATATTCTGCTTCTTAAGTTCTGGATAATATATGTCTGCATTCTGATTCTAGATGTTTTTTTTTTTTAATTTTATATATACTGAAAAATAAGTTGCAAAAATATTCATTACATGGATTTTAAAGTGCAATGCATGGAAATATATGATAAAATGTATTTAATCCACAACTAATTCTTTCATCTAGATGATATTTTCAGAATTTCAATGTCTTCTTGAACTATTAATGAGACACCAGAAGTTAAACTGCTTTTGGCACAAATGTTGGAGGTCATATTATGCTTTGCAAAGTGAAATATGGAGATAACAAACAGTAATCAGACTTAAAAACCCATTGAAACTGTACAGACCTGAAGCAGAGCTAACATAAACATACATGTATAATACATCAGTGGTGGGATCAGGTGCCATGGAGGACAAGGCATACCTTGTTTAAGTTATTTCTGATGTCAATTCAAACTGGTCCCTTCTTCCATTTTCTGAAAATGGATATGTAGAATATGCACAGTAGTTTTTATTAGGGAAGGATTAAAGAAATACAATAAAATAATATTCCTGGGGTATTTAATGCAATAATCAACATTTTAATGAAAAATGTAATATTTTTTTTTTCAGGAAAAGAAAGTGATGGAGAAGATTCAGCACGTGAAGACAAGGGAGAAGAACATCCTGTTACAGAACATCCAGCAGCTGGAAGACGCTCCTGAAGGGGAGGAAGACAATCTTCATAACCTCCCTCTGTCTCCTGATGGAAAATATCTGGTGCTTACTGCTACTGACGAATCAGAAGACTTGGCTGAGTCAGGTGACTTGGCTCAACCAATGGAAAACCTAACTGTTCAATCTATGCAGCAACCAATCAGTGAGGACTTGGACATTGAAGAAGAGCCTGAGTCGGAAGCTTAATGTTAATGCTTATGCAATAGAAACTGTTATATGGTATATAGTTGTTTGTTTTTATAAGGTGGCTCATTTTTGTGGTCTATTGCATTTATGTTATAGTAACGCATTTTGGTTTACCAGTTGGTTGAGAAACGTGAAGTAAATAGTCTGCATGATTCTCAGTTACAAATGAAACATGACACCTTGAAATTTTGACTCTACAGCATTTTCAACCATTAAACTTGTTAAATTTTTGAACAAGTATAAAATCTAGAAACCTTGAAGTGTGTGTGGGGGATATTTTGTGATGGCATTGCTGTTTTTACCTGTGCTGGGATGTGTGTATGAATAATTACCTTTACAGATTGACTGATTAAAGAAATGAACTTTGCTTGGGAGTTTTGGGCAATCAGGAATGGCAGTATGCTTGGTGGAATATTTTAAAGTACACATTGTTTTATCATGGACAAGTACATTATTTAATGATGTAAAATACAATAGAACTTTTTCATGATTAATGAGTACAGGTTTCTTTTTTCCCATTGGTTGATAATTACAAAATGTTTGGTTTATACAGTGGAAATCTAAATTAATTATTAGATTCTTCCTGGCTGGTATTGCTCAGATTTAGATAAGAATGGTTGTTGTTAGGCTTTGTTTGGTAAGCTAGGGGTAGATCTTACGAAGTTTGTGTTTAGAATTGAATTGCTTGCAAAGTAGCTTCAAAATTTGAATTTGTTATTCCTACATTTCTTCATGCATAGATTGTAAATGTAACGGTGCATTTTCTATGATGCACTGTATGCTTACATATGTAGTTTATCATTATTAAGTATTAGGAGGTTGTTAATCTCCTATATTTATTGAGTGCCATGGAGAAAATCATTTTGAAGTACACGTTATTCACTCATCTAGAAAATTTTTTTTTAAAAAAAGGTCATTGTTAATCAAGTCTTTGTAAAGGACTATCAAAGGGAAGTTCAATTTCAACTTTTATAAAAATAACAAAAAGTTGATTTTTATATAGTGCTTCTCTATGTTACTGAAGTGTTGGATACTGTACATCACTACATATTCACCAAGCCTTATTTTCGTGAGATTGCCATCAACGCTTTATTAGCGAGACAAAATTTTCACGAATTGCGGTTTTTGCCCTATACAATCTTAAGGAATGCTATTATACGCGAGAATGAAATTTTTGTGAGTAAACTTGTCTCGCATAATTAATACGCGAAAATAAAGTTCTCACAAATAAAAAGTGATTTAGAGTTGATGACATTTATTTTGCAATGCAAGGTTTTCAGAACTTGCTGGTTTTACATTTGTTAAAGATTAAAATTTTGTGCTTATACGTAAAAGGTTATCTTTTTTTATCATGTTTGCATGTAGAATGCATCAAAACGTTTGTAAATCAACTAATATCATATTTGCTTGATTGTGCCAATTTTCAATACTGTATACAGGGAAATTTTCGCCCCCGTTTTATTTTCGCCCCTTTCGCCCTCTCCTTGATTAGGCGAATTTTAAACGGGGCGAATTCAAATTACACCTCATGATTTCTTAAACAGAACTATGATTGGGCTAATTTAAAACGGGGCAAATTTGTTCACAAGTTCAAGAGGGCGAAAATAACCCTGTGTACAGTATCTATTTCATAGTTCCAATGCCTGAAACTAAACCAAGGGAAAATGCTTTCTGTAATTAATAGAAGAATAAGACAGATTTACAAGTTGAGTACAAATCTTTTTGACAGAAGTAAGAAACTAATATTTTCAAGAAATATGTTTTTGATAACACAATATTTAGTTCTAGACGCACAATAATAGAATTGTCCTAAATGTAATAGAAAACACACAAGTTTTTGGTTATCAACGTGTTGTCTGACCTCATATTGCAGTCATTTTTTTTCTCAAGAGATGGAAAAGAGCTTGATACCACTAGTATATTTACATCATTCATCTAGCTGTTGTTATAATTTAAAAGTGTTTGTAATCAAATGGATTATTATTATAAAATATTATGAAAACTATGCAAACTTCATGTGAATGTTATAGCATTCTTATTTATTGCTTCATGGTAATTAGACTCAATCTAATTGTTGAAGTTCTAAATTCTTCTCCCAACCCTTTACATGTTGTACAATTTTTTTCCTTCTATATTTTGTTGCTTCATTCTGCAGTGTGCCTTTAAAATCAATATCCTTAACCATATTTTTAAAACAAAATTATCAGCACTTACAACACATAATACTTTAGGTATTTACTTTTTCTTTAAAATAATTTGATTGGTATAGAACATTTCTAAGCTGAAGTAAACTGGATTTTTATTTCACTCTCCTTGTGTTTTGAAGGTCTCTTTTCCAGAGAGGAGTTATTTGAATAATGAAGGGATACACTGTTTGTTTCATTTCACCTGTGATATGTAAATACATGAATTTGTTGTGTCTGAGTATATTTATTGATGACTGTCATTTTTATCTGCCCATCATGAGTAGACAAAATAAAATTGAAACATTTTTGCCTTTGAATGCATAATTTGCTCTTGGCATACATGTTAACCTATTGCAGAGACATATAAAATGGTTTTATATGTCTCTGCCTATTGTGATGAAAAAGAGGGAGATTCAGACCTCAAAAGCGGTAGCATTGCGCGCGTGTTGTTTAACGCTTGGATTATCGATATCTTTCATGTAATATACATGTATATTATAAGCCTTAAATGAAATCAGGTACCTACACTAATAAATCTTAAATATCAACAGCAAAGAAGAAGACAGAAACACCCTAAGTTTGACATAAATTGTACAAATTCAAATATTTTCATGCTGATCATTTTGCTTGGATTAGCTGCTTTACTTAGCCTTTTGAAGAGTGATCTTTGCTGAAATAGCCTAGAAGCAAAAATTCTGAATATTCATTCAGTTTTTAAACAAAACAAATGATGGCATGGTTTAATCTAGATCTAAAACAAGTTCGTATTTTTCGTTATATAAATCAGATTTCCCGCGATGATCGAAAACGAACGTAGAGATGTGCCACATGGCTTGGTCAATCGAGGGATTTCTATTGACTTTATTGATAAAGTTGTGAGCTTCTGTGCTTTTAAAGACGATGTCAAATGTTTTCATCTAATTCTTAAAAGCTGTATCTCCTTTTTCATGGCAGGGATGTTGATTAATTTATCGTAACCAATGTAATCACTGGTAGTCTTATGGGTGTAGGGTGGTTTCGCGCCGATTACGTGTTCGCGCCGAGTGGTATCGCGCCGAGTGGTTTCGCCCCGTTTATCTACAGGTAAGGTATTGATTATATACAGTATGGCTTCCCCCCGATTACCTGTAATTATATAACTTAGTACCTTGTAATTAATTACCCCCAGGCGTTAGAGTCGTGTGTCAGATAATTATCCCATTTTGTATTAATACTTATAGTGAGGCCATTTTTAGCCATATATTTGAACTAATTTGATCGAACTAAATTAAGAGTGGATGTTAAAATAAATATTCATTTCACAAATCTCATTGACTTTTCAGAGAAGGTTGTCATTGTTTTTCTTTTGATTTACAATATTAAATTATGTAGGATTCTTCTGCATGGCGATTATTCTTTAAATATATTAGACTTCCCATTTCATTGCAATATTACCTCTTCTTTATAATATCTTAATATATATAATAATCAAATGACTAATTCGATAAGCGGTATCTTCAGTTATACAGTAGAAACCAATAGGGGCGAATCCACTCGGCGCGAACAAGTGATCGGCGCGAAACCACTCGGCGCGAACACGTAATCGGAGCGAAACCACCCGCATTCGTCTTATGTTGTTGTCGTTGTCAAATCCGTGCTTGAAATCTATGTACAAAAAAAGCGTTTGTATGATTCCGAGTCAAATCACGCGATATCTAGCGAGATTTTATGAGAGTGGCTTCAAAAATGGATACCCAAGCGAACCAAAACTACTTTAGACGCAGCTTTTGTAGAAAAGCGGTAGATTTCAGAATTAAATCGGTAGGCGGGAGATGGAGTGAAAAAGCGGTAGACTCCCGCCTAAATCGGGAGAGTTAACATGTATGCTCTTGGTGAATTCTTAATTAGGTCAAGTCTTTTTAAGAGTACTAGCAATGGAAGAAAAAGAGTGGAGATAATGAACGATGATCAAATTCATAAAGAATGCAAACAGAACGTCAAATGATCATGTGAACAGGGCATGAACACGGACCACAGGGGCATCTTATCCACTCTGTTCTCCGCTATGTGAAGTAGAGAACAGAGTGGATAAGATGCCCCTGTGCACGGACCCTTGGAAATTCCACAGGTGGGATTAGGTGCCTCGGATGAATAAGCATCCCCTGCTGACTGGAGTACACCACCGTGAGTCCTCTGTATTGATCGGAACATGTAGTGTTTTTAATAAAGATCTAGCAATGGTTTTGAAACAAGTCCGGCACATACGATCTAGTGATGATATATATGCTTATAAGGTCATTATAAGGACTAGAGGAATTACGAAATGCTGATTATCAACAAGGTTACTGAAATCACTTTAACATCAACTTATCTGTGAGAAGTCTGTCTCGGTGTAAAATTGATTGTTCCCAGAGTATGATTTTTGAGTAGCAAATAAGTTGGAAGATGTAAACAATATATGCAAGTGATAGCGGAATGTTACTACATAAAAAAGGAAAGTTGAGAGAAAGATTAAAAGCTAAATTCATCTTATTTGTCATGGTTGTTAATTGGTCATTGTAGTATTAAACCATCAAATTCCAAATACATGTACGAAACAGATTTGACAGACTGTGGTATCGTTTATTTCAAGTTCGGATTATATCGAGTCGACATAATGGAAATTGATTGATAAATCGTCATTTAACTCAAGTGTCGATTTGAAGGCCACGGAAAGTGTGTTCTTGTCATGTAGACGTTCTTAGAATTTTTGAGGATCCACATCTGATTTACACCGTATCACTTTCATTAGAAAGTGCTGTAGCACAATATGTTTTAAGTTTCTCCCTAATAGCAGTTAAGTAAAGATAGGGACTTAGTCTCTCTTCGTGCTGTCAGCACAAACGGTCGTCATCAGAGTCTAGCTTCCACGTTGGTCTATGTTATGTCCATCTCTAGATCTGGACCTTTCCCCATGACCAGTTGTTTTCTTTTATATTTTTAATTTCCACCGACCTTCTCAAGGTCTCTTTTGGTCTTCCTCTTTATTTTACCAATTGGTGTCCACCTCAATACAACCCTAGGGATAAAGTTTGAGTGCATTCTACATATATGTATATGCCCTATCCAAAGCCATTTTCTTTGTAACTTGCAATAGAAAAGTGATATTAATCTTTTTGTACAGCTCTATTTGGAGATGGTATTGGGCCAGAAAATGCGCAATATTCTGCGAAAGCAACGTGGAAGACATCTAGCTTAGCTGAGATGACTTTTGTTACTTTCCATGATTCAGCAACATACAGGGTGACCCCAAGAACGTTGCTCTTGAATATCCTTATTTTGGTATTTCTATGCTGACCTCCAGATGTTTTCGCAATGCAACATACGCTCCTGTGGCTTTAGAAATCCGACCTAGTACAACTACCTCAGAATTCCCATCCGAACAGTCCCTTATGCCATCAGAGCATCTCTGACATAGCCCAAGTAATTTCCGTATGTTTATTCTTGGTGGAATCTCGCATGATCCAGACAATAGCGGCTTGGTGCAGCCTTTATTCAATTGTTGCCAGTTTATAAGCTTCCTTATATATAGTCACGAAGTTAATATCTCGGAACATATGTGTGCATGTTAATTAGCAAAGTCTTCAAAACATTTTAAAGTGTCGGAAAACTGACGAGGAAGCCTGCACGTTTTCACATTGTTCGATGTACATGTACATATTGCAAAGATCTTAGTCCTGATGTAACTCAACATACAAGCTTAGACTGTTTAAGGAAATTTAGTGGCATTTTTATTTTACAACGAACCCCTTACTCACTAAATTAAATCTACATAAAGGAAAAATCTACGAAAACTGGTCCAAAGAATTTAAATAACAAAACATAACATGTACAATTCAATGAAAAGTTATTGGTATTGGTCATACAATAAGTAAATTTTGGATATCATGACTGACAATTCAAGAAAGTATTTGTAAGAGTAGTACACTCTGTTTTTACTTTCATTTTGCCATAGTTAAAGTTTAGTCTTTCTAATACACCTGGTCAGTTTTCCCTTTGGTCCTCCAAGCTTACTTTTTCTTAAGGAACAAAATGAAAACCTGTCGTAACAACCAAACGTGGGATCGGATTTTTCCGGAAGTTTCTTATCTCTGAAGCACTGCAAAACAAATAAAAACAATGTCTAGTCAATTGACGATTGAATGTTCCTTATTCGATAACATAATAATTCAAAATGTACTGGTTAAAGCTTTGCAATAGAAAATCATAATTAACTGAATCACACAGATGTTAAACAATTTTGTTGCTCATGTGGTTCCTGGGACATTTGAGACTTATTGAATTCAATTTTCGAAAATGTGTATAAGATAGCCCAATAGTGCTTCACGACATCTACTCAGTAGTAAAATGGCTCCCACAATAATTAAGTCAATAGCAGCATGTGTAGATGTGTCAAAAAAGAAACTGAACTATGACGTCATACAGGTACCTTATTCAAGTCTCTGCAGTTGTCCGTGTATTTGTTCTTCTTCAACCAACGCCTTTGAAATAAGTTTAGATTCTTCCACTCCCGTGCACTGATTACGTATATACAGCCGTCAAGATCTTTGGATACTGAAGTGACCAGACGCAATATTTTTTATTAATCTCCATTGTATGTAATTTTATATATTGTAGTACAGGAAGTAAAAACTCGTTTAATGACTTCATCAACTGGATGATATTTCTTAACATCTCATTTTTAGATACAAATTTCAATACAGCGAAATCAAAGATTTAACATACTGTATACGTTACAGTTCATACCTGTGACAAAATATTCCATGACTGGCTTTAAAAGTTCTTTTGTATCAATCAGTGTGACTAAAGTCTTTTGGGAAAAATCGAAATTGGGCCCAGTCTGTAAATGTACTGTAGACTCACGACTTGCATCATAATAACAAACAGGAGGATGAAAATGAAGAAAACGTAGAGGCATATACTTACTTTAAATACTGTTGAGATATTGACGTCATATTTCTTGCCAGGACGACATGATGTAGTTTTGGGCGGGAGTCGTAGAGGACCGATAACCGCTCGCTTTTTTCTATAGGGAGGGTCCATAACCAGTAGTGGGACCTGGAAGCCACCCCCGATCAGAGGAGGGACTGAACTCACTTCATTTCTCACAATTATATCTAGAGATGCTTAAACATATAAAACAAAGTACAAAAATAAATAAAAATTTCGATAGATACATAAACATACATGTACATGATTGATACAAATGAACGTGTTAGCTCATACATGTAAATCAATCGGTAGATCGAATTACGACTGACAGTTTCATAAGAACTGTTGGGCCAATTTTATCAAAACATCATTGCCATATTACTATAGTATATTCAATTTTCCGACAACCCGATCATTACTAATAAGTTGATCTAAGGAGCACACAATGGTTGTGACCGCTAAATATGGCATGTCTACTCCTCAATGGCACCTGATCCCACCTATGATTACAGAGGTTTGTGTTCGTTCTGATCACAATTCGTAATGCTTAATTTTGAGCATTGATATCGTTACCTTCACATCTGATTACAGTGTATAACTATGAAGAATGCAGTTCACCGGCCTCTATGAATTTCCAGCATTTGAGATGCAATTAATAAACATAAGATGCAACTATTTTTAATCATAAACTTAATTGGTCAATATGCTGAATTTTTTTCTGAATATAATTGCATGTCTTTAAATATAATGACTTTTAAATGATTAACGTGTTTTTAAATATATAAATTTGCTAACCAGTTGCTGTTGTACTGATGTCAAGATAATTTTTGTACTTTTATGAAATCGTTCAACATCGTTTATAAGACAGGATATAATATATTAATAAGGGCTTAATTCAAGCGCATATATAGATTTCTAAAAACAACTAACATGTAGGCCCCCTATATCATAATTAGATATATTGATTATTTATTCCGTATTTCTTATAATTTTCGCGAGATGAAGATTTCAGTGTATATTTCCAGTCGTTTGTTAACCAATTCCTTCTCATGGCCAACATGACTTTGCTGAATAAAAAGCTACAAATCAGTAATTATCAATATTTTCCAAGTATTTCAGTTTTATATGGAGGTGCATGTATTAAGTCATTCGTTTATTTATTTATCTATTAAAAATTATATAAAGTGTACTACAAGTTTCAAATAATTTCTCGAATGAAAAAAAATACTCACCTGTTCCTTCCTTACAAATGTCTTCTTGTATATGCTCCATTAAACTAATTTTAATCATTATGAATGTTAAATACATTTTAAAAACGAATATAAACTATCGACATAGAAAATAAATTATTTTCGACAAACTCATCAATTAATTTCTCATTACAGAATTAGACCTTACTGCAATTTTTATAATAATATAGAAGAGATGAAATAAAATATCTGCATGAACCTACATCATTGAAAATCTTCACAACACAATTTTTGAGCACCTTGGTCGGACTTAAAATTCAATCATTATTAAATTATAAATACATGTGTGCTTTTCAATTTTCTTTGTATTTCCATTGTCATTTACAAAAGATTGAAATGATATCATTTGATATTTTTATTTTCCTTCAAAGGAGATGTCTCCAGTATTTACAGAGATCATTTTGAACACATTTTTGTTATAAATTGATAGAAATTAGATAATTTTTCTGAATATACAGCGAGGTTTTATTTTAAACAAAAATAATATTCATTATACAAAAGTTGAGATATTTTGAATATAATCTTTATTATAGTTGGAAAGATGTAAAAAAAAAAATACTTACATAGAGAAATGTCCAAAATATGCAAATTCAATGACGAAAAATAGTGCCGTTTTCATTTTTTTGCTTTGGAAATGCTTAATATCTCAATATAGACTATAAACAAACGGACGGCTTTTATGTCGTTTATGAAGAAGTTGTTACTGAGTTTAAGAACATTCGCAGATTGCATGTACATATACTCTTGCAAGTAGAATTTATTTTTCTTAAGGAATTGACGCTAAATCCGAACGTAAATAATAAAACCTTTTCAACTTCAGAAATGTCCTTTGGACAATGGTGTTGCCAACAGTTGGTGTCAGATAACAATAAAATAGGAAAAGTTTTCACATAATTTTGTCCTATGCATGATAGATGGACCAAAAATATCCAAAGGAATCATTGAACCACATAATTATAATCAGCTAGTTTTCTACTGGTTGAGCATCTCTAATTTTAATGGATTTCTTTATGAATCTGGATTATTTACATTGCAAGACGCAATATACAAAGAATAATCTAACATACATTTTGGTGACAGATGTACAATCGTCATTTAGGATTATACGTGAACACTACGTGAATATACGCAATATACAAAGAATAATCTAACATACATTTTGGTGACGGATGTACAATCGTCATTTAGGATTATACATGAATACTAAGAGTAAAATTCTGGCCCCGGGATCATGAAGCATCTTAAGCTTAAGTCAAAAAATGACTTAGATGCTAATTGTTTTAGAGGTCAAGCAGCCCAAAATGAAAATACCTTCTGATTTTATATCATCAGTCTGCTGTTGTATGCAAATTATGAGTTTCCTTTAACAAGTTTTAAAGATTTTATAGATAATTGAAATTTTGACTTAAGTCTAAGTCTGTTTCATGATCCCGGGGCCTGGATTCATATCGAAAAAAAAATTAATGTGGTTAGAAATCGAATTTCGAAGCTTTTCTGATAATATTTACTTCACATAGTATCAGTACCATATATTAATGCTCACTATCAATTATAAACTTTCAGATTGTCTTGCAGTCTTATTTCAAACAATCGAGGTAATTTAAGTCGATAAAACATGGTTAGAAACTGTTCCAGTGCCATGCGCTCGACACTTTAAAGTGAAAGTTGCGGGTCCTTTGGATGAGACCTTAAAAACCGAGGTCCCCCGTCACAGCAGGCGTTGGTACGATAAAGATCCCTCACTGCTTAATACTCTCAGTGCCGCGAATAGTTAAAATTTGAAACTCTTCACCAATATATGATGATGTCTATACATGAGTGTAAAAGTCTCAAATGGGACGTAAAACATTAAATCAATCAGTCAATCAAATAATCGATTATTCCTAAGTTACAAGAAAAAGTTCTCTTGGCAATAAACGCTGCTTTTTTGTAAAGTGTTTTCAATAGTGATCGGGCTAAAAAATACATCAACTTCGCAATGAATGGTAAAATTGCATGTACATTTTGACATTTTTCAAATTTCAAAATATAAACTCCACAATTTTTTACAGTTCTTAATATATAGCTTATGACAAGTGGTCAACAAAAAACACAGCTAGACGCGAAGTTAAATCGTTCCACTCCGCTCTACAAAAGACACAAACTAAGGAAGTTAACGAGATGTCATAATCTTTCAACAAAGTCAAATGGGCTGTTATTTGGAGATTTGATTGATTGATTGATTGATTGATTGATGATTGATCGATTGTATATTGTTTAACGTCCTTCTAGAGATTTTTGATTTGAACATTGTATGAAATACATATTAGTTTTGCAAAGACACAAGTTCATGTATTGAAAGACTATAAAGAAACAATTGTAGACAGTAAATACAAATTCAGAACCTTTATTAATACATGTATATCTTTCACAATGGAACCACAAAATATTATACACTGTATCTCTCCAAATCTGGAAAGCTTTATTGGTTCACTAATATATAGTTCTTCGAAAACATTTCATAGAATTCAAAGTTTGAGAAACACGAGTATATGAGTGTACTAAGAAGGAGGATCATTTCGGAGACAAAAAGAACTGAGTGACCTCTCTTGCGTATTATACACCGATTACATTTTTATTAAGGTCTGATTATATTTTTTAACAATCTAGTTCTTTTAATACACCTGTTTAAATCTCCCTTTTGTCCTTTCAGCTTTCTGTCACTTGAGGAACAGAACGAAAATCTGTCGTAACACCCGAAAGTGGGATCCGATTCCTCGGGGATATCTTTGAAGCACTGAAAAACAGAAAAAAAGTCTTTAATTAAATTGATTGATTTGATTGTATATATGCTTTTCATGTCCCATTCGAGAATTTTTCCACCATCAGAGGCATTGCCATATACCCGTGAAGGACTCCAGTTTACGTGCACTGATTACCAATATGCAGCCAACAAGATTTATGGATACGAGGGTTGTCCCAAAATTCCGTAGACAAGCGTTGTTTTGTAGGAACCCTATGTCATACATTAATGAAACTTCGTATATCGATTAAATCAACACTATCTAATAAATTTATGGACAAATATGGAGTAACTACACAAATTAGTCCAATTTAAAAGCCACATTTCATTATCTGGTGTAGGAAGGCGGCGCAATACCCAAAGATTAAAATTTAAATTTAATATATTATAAATCCTTCGGAAAAGTAATTACTTCCTTGTATTTTTTTAATGGAAATGAAATTCTAAAAACTGTCTTGTTAACTATATTTTCTAAAAGTTTGGTGCTCATGCTTTGATAAATATGAATTTTGTAACGTTTTTTATAGATGGGGTTGAAATCCGACATTTTGAAAAATGGCTGCTGCGTTGGCACAGGCGGCGCACTGGACTATGATCAAGTGTTCGATCCCAAATTCACTCTTACAGAAATGTACCAGTCATAAATGTTTGGTAGACTAGGGAAGTTTCTATCGTCATTAGTATTTTAAATGAATAAAACGGTTTCTCAATGTATATGTGAATAACAGTGACTAAAATAAAAGACAGGGCTAAGAAATGGGCAAAAGGTCCACTGTGTAAAGCCATTACAGAAAACAGACGTAAAGCCCCTAGAAATATAGCGTTTTCAAATTATTATTATTTCATTCCTATATATGTATATACTTTGTTTACCTATTTTAATGTTTGATCATATCATAGTAATTAAGATATTTCACATTTATAACTATAACCGTTTCGTTTAATTTAAGAATTTGATTCTGGTATTTGAAATATTTTCTACCAAAAATTGAACCATTGACTTTTGTATTTTTTGACGTTGCAGATTGCTCCGTGTGTTAGAGAACAGTATCACTTTAAATGTTATTACTCAAAAAGTTTTCAAGTAAACACGATAAAACTTCGTAATTTATCTGCTAAGAATACGCTTTATCCACCCTGAAAATTTTTGGAAGATACACTAATTTCTTTAAAAGATATGAGCTCAGTCTACGAAATTTTGGGTCAACCCTCGTACTTAATTGACTTGGCACTCAAGTGATCATGGATCTTTATCGTACCAAAGCCTGCCGTGACTCAGGACTTCGGTCTTTTTATGCCTCATTCGAGAGATCTAGAACTTTCACTTCAAAGTGTTGAAATCTGGGCGAAGCAACGATCGCTATTTATTTTTTATAGTCAGTCACAGCAGGGGTTTAAACCTACAACTTTCCGATCACGAAACTAGCGAAACATCGATTTAGCTACCGTGAAATTTTAAGTCAATTGCCAAGTGACAGGGAACTACTTTCACAATAAACCACAAAGATGATTTGAAATTAAGAGGATGAAAAATAATAATATTTGTACCCTGCTTAAGTCTCCGCAATTGTTTGCATATATATTGTTAATCTTCAGCCAACCTCTTTGAAAGTCGTTAAGGTTCTCCCACTCCCGTGCACTGACAATGTATATGCAGCCGACAAGATCCTTTGATACTGAAGTGACAAGACATAATTATATAATTTCGATGAAATTAATCTTTTATGGATGTTTTATTATTTTTGCAAAGAGTGAGTTCAAGTTTTAAATTGACCATAGTACCTCGATATACTGGTAATCGTTTATTAGAAATAAATTATATGGCAAGGTAAAACATGCTTCATATAACTTAATATAATTTAGAAAAAGTTGCACAAAATTAGAAAAAAAATTGCATATATTAAATATCGCTATTTTTTTAGAGTCATACAGTTTCAACAAGTTCAACATGTTCAGATATACCAGAAACCTAATCATGATGACATGACAAAATCAACGCAAACTGAAACAGTTCATACCCGTGACAAAATATTCTACGTTCGGCTTTAAAAACTCCTTTGCATCAATCACTGTGATTAAGGTTTTATTGTGAAAAGCAGCATTTGCTCCATTCTGAAATGTATGGAAAATTTACTTAAAACATGTTTATTGCAATTCTAAAACTTGTCAAAATGATTTTTATTGGGTGCAAGTACTTTGTATAGTTATATAAACAGAAATCTTGCTTTGTTAAATAAATAGGGTGATAATTATTAATTATTTGCTTTGTTCTTTGATTTACTTAGGATGTATATTATGATATATGAATATACATATAATTATGACATTTGACTATATATACACATCTGCTTATAAACACCTTGACGGTCATAATGACTCGAGGACTTACAACTTACAGACTCAATTATATCTATTTTTTAGGATGTAGAATGCCTTAAAAGTCCCTTAAAGTTTCTTTGCAGATCATTTGACTTAAGGGGGGACCTATGTCCGAAAAGTCTTTGTGTGAAATTTTCAAAACTTTGACATTTCCTTCCTAACCTCTTGCTCTTAATTTTTAGGCATTAAAATTAATACCTTTATATGCTTATTTTTACACAAGAGCACGTGCAAAAACAGTGTGAAATGCTAGAAATAGACTATTTTCAGACATTATTGTTCTACTCCAAATATGCGCTAAAAAGTACCAAAAATGTCAAATCACATTCAAAATCAACAGGTATTTAATTTATATGACTTGTATCTTTAAAATGAAGACAAATTCATTGTAATTCATCTCGCATGAAAAATTATAAAGGAGCACAATGTAAGTATCATCCCGTTTTTCTTGTCGTATTTTTTACAATTCCGACATGCATAACAGGTAATATCTTAAAAAGTCTTTGTGTGAAAATGTTGTAATTAATATTTTTTGAAAGAAAGGATCCCTCTCTTTATTTTAACAAAGAAAAAAGTATACCTTTATGATAAAATAAACGAGAAATATGACGTTTTCTTTTATTTTCGTACTCTTCTGTCATAAATATTGACCTTTCTGCACTAAAAAAAGGTACGTAAGCACTGACAAACATCTTAATTTAAAACTATTTTTGCAAAAAACAAGTATTTTGTTTTGATTAGAAATAATTTAAACAGATAAACTCTTTTCATCTTCATTCTAATCATTCTGCCCCCCCCCCCATTTCCTCGTCAACAACCAACACTTAATAGAACCAAGGAATGACTTTATACAATAAAATCTACATATACTATAAATCAATAAGTAAATATAGGTACAAGTACATTTCTTAATTTTTTTTTAGTTTTATCCAGAAAATACAGATAATGGTAAACATAAAATTAAACATATTTTTCTGATTTAAGCTGCGTTCTTTGTTGAATTTTATCTGATATTTTTTGCACTTTTATATCAGCATATCATGGAGGTATTTCTTTACAACTGAAATTGCTATGAATTATCCACCAAAGGAAGAGAATTCTAATATTAACAAACTCCATAAATCAAATAAAACTGTAATAAATGATGAAAAAGAATTCTTTTTGTAAACTGTGTACGTTATTGATTAATAACAATGTTATGCCTATAATAACCACAGTTGAAAAAGTCAGCGGGAAAAAAACAAACGTCGCTATTGTGACGTCACATAACGCTGCTTTGACGTAGAACGACATAAGTCTCCCCTTAAGTAATGATTGCTTAATAGTCTGGTCCTGATTTTTAAAAAGAGGCTAGAAATAACTCTGACGGCAAATAATTATTATTTGGTCCAGCATAGTTTTTAAACCTATTTCGAGTATGCTGAATCCGAAAAAATATGCTGGCCTTCATGAAAATGGCGTTAAATATGTCAAAATGGCGATTCAAAATGGCGGATATCCAATTTTTCTAATTTTCTCTTAATGTCGTTCAAAATAGAGAAATAATGAGTGAATATCTTACTGAGTGTAATAAAACTATAAAAAATATAATTTTAACGTTATTAGTTTAACTCAGAAAATTTAGTCGTTTCTACACTTAATTCGAATTTTCTCTGATTTATTTGTCTATTGTTTCTATTTTCTTCTTTGTTCAGAGTTTTACATTTGAAAATATCCATACACCGCAGATTTGTATCTTTTTCTCTACATCTCACTATTCTACAACTGAATGATGATGCAGCTGTAAGTTAATAGTCAAAATGGCGATTCAAAATGGCGGATATTCATTTCTTTTTCAAATTATTTCTTAATGTCGTTTACATAGGAGAAAGGATTTGTGAATATCTTACTGAGCGTAGTACAACCATGTAATATGACAATAGAACACTGATATTATCACTTGAATTCGGAAAATTTAGTCGTTTAAATTTGAAATGTGTTAATTAGCTCAAAATGGCAATTCAAATGACGTCATATACATTAGAATTTCGTAAAATACCCAAACTGCTTAATTCTAATTCGAGAAAATATATTTACAGTTTTTTTTATTCATAAAATAATGTTCAAATGCAATTGAAGTTGGAAGATATTTTCGTTAATGACTTATGATTTTCATAATACGGATTTTTGTTTAATAACTTCTTACTTGCTTAATTTTTCACAATTCCGAAGACATTTTACCTATTATTTGTCTCTACATGCTTCTTCATATAAAAAGTTAATAATATCATATACTAATTGCTGTTTTGAGGACAATATGAAAATTAAGATACCCCAAGAGCAGTATTCCCCGAGCATTAAGACGAGTGAACATTGTAGTTCGAGGGTTGCTAAATCATATCAGTTGTTGGAAATTCTTGATCTATTTTTACAGTCCAATGTAGAAAAAAAATAAATGTTTATGTCCATGTGGAAGGTCTAGTGCAACATAACTTAGTATTATTTTTAAAATGATGGACCACGACCATTTAGAGGGCTAGTAGTTGTTACATCATATAAATCTGAATATCCAAATATAAGCATGTTTATTAAGAATTATCAGTGTAATATGCGTAAACCATAATTTTTCTTGATTGTTCAGCTCTGATTCTGTGTCCCTACATTTGCATTTTGTTATTCTCAGTCAAAAATTCAACTGCATTCTCAAATATTTTACGTTGTGAACGGATGATTTTGTATGGAACAGTCAATATAAATTTTTAAAAATTGAAATTTACAAAATATGAAAGAAAATATGTTTGTGTTCAATCCCTCCTCGATTCTTGATACAATTTTACACTACCCTAACAAAGAAGTGTGGATCAAGTTGCCTTGTAAAGTTTTTGGAGTGTTCAAGAAAATTTTGTTGTCAAGAGAAGTGTTGACTAGATCGAAGTCAAGAAAGGCTTCGGCCTGTTGGTAAGAAAGCTTGTAAGTGATAGGAATCACGAGAAATCTGCAGGCGCTCTTAAATTGCATAATTATAAAACTCTCTCACTACAATATGCACACAATATGATTCCAGATGATGCAGTTTGAGAATTTCTTCCTAATAGAATGACCTTTCTACCCTAAAAAACAACAAATCTATACGAGGTCACGCAATAAAGAGCTACATGTCCTAAATATCAGAGACTTTAATACCCCCTCCCCACCCTGCTTGAAAATCGGGAGGGTATAGAGTAATCGGTTTGTACGTCCGTCCGTCCGTCCGTCCGCATGTCTGTTACGCTTTAGGGTACCCATCTCTTATCCACAACTCATCTCATACCACTGAATGAAATTTGATGACACTTTATTACATATTACCATTGTGCATCTCTTATTTCACTTTTTTGATCCGACACATATTTTGGGTTTCCCAAAGCAAAACATGGACACTATTATTATATACATTTGGGAGACGGGGGTATCATTTAGTGAGCTATTTGCTCACAGTACAGTACCTCTAGTTTATTTTGCATAAGGTTTTTGAAAAAAAGTAGACTTTTAACATTTGAACATAAATGTGTTGTTTCTTGAGTGTTTTTTGATTGATTGTATATTGTATAACGCCGTGTCGGCAATTTTGGAGCTAGGTTTAGGCGGACTATCGGTTTAAATAATCGGTTTTTGAAGGATTTTGGTTTCTCTGGCGGCCTCCAGTGAGCTAACTCTTTTTCGAACTCCAGAGAAACGATCTTTTACATGCCAAGGGGGTTGTCATCCTTGACACAGGGCACCATTTTACTTGAGAGTTGACAATACCAAAATTCCGAGGACATACTGAAAAATTTAGCAAATAAATCTGGAATAGAAGATGGTATGGTATAATACTAAGTTCTTATAAGTACTAAAAAGCAGGAACAAAGTGTTCGATGAAATCGGACAAGAATTTCTTCAGTTATATTTGATGGTGTGCTGAGGGATGTTGAAGTATAAGTGCGAGTTGATAATGACATGATTCAGGAGTGATTTTAGGTCGACGGGGGCTCAAAGGCTTTGGAAGACGGTCGAATACGAGGGGGAAAATTTGGAAACTCTTAAGTTGAGATTGTTTTAACTATTTCCAGAAAAAATGGATCTATTTTAGTATTTTTGTTTGTTCATATTTAATAGACTAATCAATATACTATATATACTAGTATATAAAAACAAACTGTAATTTATTTTCTGAAAAAAAAAACGAATCAGAATTAAGCAGTTTGAATATTTTACGAAATTCGAGTGAATATGACGTCATTTTGAATCGCCATTTTGAGCTAATTAACACATTTCAAATTTAAACGACTTAATTTTTCCAAATTAAAATGCTGATATTATAGTGTTCTTTTGGAACCTTACGTAGGTGTGCTACGCGCAGTAAGATATTTACAAATCCTTTCTCCTATGTAAACGACATTAGGAAATAATTTGAAAAAGAAATGAATATCCGCCATTTTGAATCGCAATTTTGACTTTTAACTTACAGCTGCACCAATATTCAATTGTAGAATAGTGAGATGTAGAGAAAAAGATACAAATCAGCAGTGTATGGATATATGCAAATGTAAGATCCTGAACAAAGCAGAATACAGAACAATAGACAAAAAATCAGAGAAAATTCGAATTAAGTGTAGAAACGACTAAATTTTCTGAGTTGAACTAATAATGGTAGCATTCTATTGTCATTTTTATACTTGTATTACACTCAGTGAGATATTCACACATTATTTCTCCTTTTTGAACGATATTAAGAGAAAATTAGAAAAATTGGATGTCCGCCATTTTGACCTATTTAACGCCATTTTCATGAAGGCCAGCATATTTTTTCGGATTCAGCATACTCGAAATATGTTTAAAAACTATGTTGGACCAAATAATAATTATTTGCCGTTAGAAGTAATTTTTTCTTTAAATCGGACCAGACTATAATGCCCACGGTCAAAACAATGGCTATTGATAAGGACCAAAATGACGTAATATATCAGACATTTGTCATTTACTATATACAGTAATTCTGGTTAGGTGGTTCAAAAACTTGATAAAAAATTTGCTGCGGAAATTGTTTTAAATTATAAATTAATTATTACGTTGTATGTTATTTTTGTCCTTTCAAATACGCAACCTCCCATTTAAAGAAAATATGCATTTGAAACAAATAACAAAACAGGAGGATTAAAAAGAAAAAAAAAGTTGAGAGACAAATACTTACTTTAAATACTTCTGAAATATTGACATCGTATTTCTTGCCAGGACGACATGATGTGGTTTTTGGTGGAAGTCCTAGAGGATCAGAAACATCTCGCTTTTTTCTATGGGGTGGATCCATAACCAATAAAGGGGCGCGGAAACCACCCCCGATCATTGGAGGAAGAAGATGCACTTCCTTTCTCACCATTATATTTAAAGTTGCTAAAACAGAATAAAAATGAAAGAATACCAATGAATTCTAGGGTCGATCAAACAATCTTGTTAGCAAATACAGTTAGATTTGGACTGACGTTTTTAGACAAATTGTTGGGTCATAACTTTGAATTTCCCGTTTCCTCAACCATGACTAGGAGCCTGAAGGATCACAAGTGGTTTAACTTATTATTATATTTAATTAATTACAGTTATTTACTGTAATGACACTGTAAATAAATTCATCCTTTTTAACTTCTCATTTAAGTCGTTATATGGCTGACTTGTTTCATACCAATTTTGCTTAAAATTCTTTGTATACATGTTGCTCTGTTAACTTAGTCTAAACAGTTGGTTCGTGGAAGGTGTGACCTGTCAACATGGAATGTTTCTACATCTGTAGGTACATATGCAAACTATGCTTGTATCCAGGGTTCCGTATTTGTGCCCTGTCCCCAGGATTGTATTTGTAGATTTCTGTAGATCGGTCACTGATATCTTTACTTTTTCAATTAAAAATATGTGAGACTTAAAAATTAATAAAAATGTGAGAAAAAAAAAATTATAACATATTGATCAATTCAGTCTTTACTTTGTTCTGAAATTTTAATGTACGATAATCATGATAATCACGCTCAGAAAGCTATTTTAACAATGAAGATGCAATGAATAAAAAAGCAAGAATCCCCTCTCGACAAGTTAAACCAATTTTTATTGTTCATGTCGTTGGTCATTTTTAGTGCTTTATATAAATTTCCATCCGTGACCTTGTATCTACTTGGTAGATCCGACATTTAGGATATACAGTGTTGTTGGTTTTTTAGTGCTTTATATATATCTATATATATATATATATATATATATATATATATATATATATATATATATAAGCACTAACAATGACCAACGACACGAACAATAAACATTGTCAAATTTTCGGGACGCCCTGTCCCTTCCTCAGGACAAATAAAGGAGTTAAAAAGTCATAAGAACAAAGGAAAAAGCGAAACAAAAAACAACTAGCACTACTACTAAACTACTAAACACTATATATTTACATACTAAGTTACATGTTGATTTGGAATTTTTTAAGAAAACTATTAAAGAAAGAATCTGGACCGCTATGAAATGCGTCCGGTCTATCGGGTATACTCGGGTGAAGTGCGATTTACATAATTGAACGAATTAATTATGCTAATTAATTAGGACAATCAGTAAATCGTACATTGTTTCATTCTCTCAAAATGGCGTAACTATACTTGATAAAGAATAACCAAAGAAAAATAATATAGAAGGGGCATTTTAACATATGAATTATGATCTATTATAAATTTTAATTTGAAATGTTTTAGGACTGATTATCGGTAAAAAATAATTAATAATTAATTAACAAAGGCGTAAGCAATACATAGTTATGTGGGTTGTTCGAGAGTTGGTGACGCAAATTAACTGTGGAGTTTACACTAAATTGAGAGAATAATCTTGTTTGGTATCATCAGGAATCGGGTCTAGTTTACGTTCATTCTGGTGAAGTCATTCAGTTTGTTAATACCATTGGGGCGGAATGACTTCAATCTGTGCATCCAGAACTTTTCTTTGCTTTTTCTCTGAGCGTCTGTCCATCTTGGGTTATGATCAATCACCACTACTGTCATGTCCTCCCATTTGTGACCCTCAAGGTTGAAATGTTCCCCAACGGGTTCATTGAGTTTTTTGGTCCTAATGGTCGAACGGTGGTTATTGGCTCTCCTGCGGAGATTTCCTGTTTCACCAATATACTGTTTGGAGCAAACTTTGCAACTGATGAGATAAATGCAGTTGTCAGTATGACAGGACAAACTTCCTAGTATTTTGTAGCTGCGGCCTGTAACAGGGCTGTTAAAACTGTCTGTGTCAGTGCTGTGCTTACAAAGAAGACATCTTCTGTCAGAGCAAGTCTTAAAGCCCCCGTTAGGTAATGGGTTGTCCAGTCTGGTTCTTACTACCATGTCCTTTAGGTTCCTAGGGCGTCTGTATGCAGCCAATGGGGGTTCCTTAAAGATCTCTGCCATTCGTTTGTTTGAATGGAGAATTGGTAGGTTCTGCTGAAGGATACCGCTTAGGTTCTTAAGGACGGGATGGTATGTGGTTACCAGAGGGACCCTACCGCTATTTTCTTTCTCTTTGTAGCGTAATAGGTTTTGCCTGTCATGTCCCGCCATCTCATCAATAGCTGTTTGTACGTTGCGGGCATTGTAGCCTCTTTTGCATAGGTGGGACTTAAGAAGACCACTTTGCTCCTGATATAAGCCAGGGGACGAACAGATGCGTCGAATTCTGGTGGCTAGACCCTTAGGCACTCCCTTAAAAGTGTGTGGGGGATGACAGCTGGTGGGCATAAGATATAGGTGGGAATCTGTGGGTTTGGTGTGGAGACTGAATTCGATTTCACCATCAATCAGGGTAGATGTGGTATCTATTCATAATAATTCATACGACTCTTCCAAGCCAGATTTACACGATCTAGAGGAATACAAACTCTATAGGCCCAAGAGTGACTGGGAACCTGCACCGGGCAAGTGTGGCGCGCTTGAGTCGTATATTGACGCCGTTGAGTCAGACATAGAGAAGCTCCTTTCAGTGCCAGACAAGACTCCCGACAATTTGAGTAAGGAAGAGAGATCTGCCTTACAATCATTAAAAAATCGGGATGACATTGTAATCAAGAAAGCAGACAAAGGCTCTACAGTTGTCGTACTGGATAAAGAGACTTACATGGCGGAGGCCCAAAGACAACTCTCAGACGAACGTTTCTATAAGAAACTGGACTCTGACCCTACTAAAGAATTCTCCACCGCCATTACCAAAACTCTTGACGATATGTTTGAGAAAAATGAGATTGGTATCAACGTCTACGAGACCTTAAATCCTATTGACTGTAGACCAGGAAAATTCTATCTGCTTCCTAAAATACACAAAGAAGGCATGCCAGGTCGTCCCATAGTCAGCGCAATTGGACACCCCACGGAGAAAATTTCTGAATTCATTGATTTACATCTCCGTCCACACGTAGAGAATTTGCCATCCTATCTCAAGGACACCACGGACTACATTAACAAGACGCCCTCTACTGGCCTCCCAGATCATACCCTCCTCGTGACTATGGACGTCACATCTTTGTACACCAATATTCCGCACGATGAGGGTATCGAAGCCTGTAGAGAAGTCTGGGATAGTAGGTCCATACAAATTCCTTCTACCGAGTCCCTTGCCAAGCTCCTTGAACACGTTCTCAAGTTCAACAACTTCATGTTTAATGGAGAACATTACCTGCAGGTTAATGGAACTGCTATGGGTACGAAAATGGCACCGTCTTATGCCAATGTCTTCATGGGCAGACTGGAACGCAACTTGTTACTTCAAGCACCATTTAGGCCCCATAGCTGGTTGCGTTTCATTGACGATATAGAGATGAAGTGGGTGGAATGCCGCGAGAGCCTCGAGGCATTCATTACGTTTGCCAACACCTTTCATCAGTCGATCAAATTTACAGTAGACGTATCTAATTCGAAAAACGTATTTCTAGATACCACATCTACCCTGATTGATGGTGAAATCGAATTCAGTCTCCACACCAAACCCACAGATTCCCACCTATATCTTATGCCCACTAGCTGTCATCCCCCACACACTTTTAAGGGAGTGCCTAAGGGTCTAGCCACCAGAATTCGACGCATCTGTTCGTCCCCTGGCTTATATCAGGAGCAAAGTGGTCTTCTTAAGTCCCACCTATGCAAAAGAGGCTACAATGCCCGCAACTTGCTCTGAAGATGTCTTCTTTGTAAGCACAGCACTGACACAGACAGTTTTAACAGCCCTGTTACAGGCCGCAGCTACAAAATACTAGGAAGTTTGTCCTGTCATACTGACAACTGCATTTATCTCATCAGTTGCAAAGTTTGCTCCAAACAGTATATTGGTGAAACAGGAGATCTCCGCAGGAGAGTCAATAACCACCGTTCGACCATTAGGACCAAAAAACTCAATGAACCCGTTGGGGAACATTTCAACCTTGAGGGTCACAAATGGGAGGACATGACAGTAGTGGTGATTGATCATAACCCAAGATGGACAGACGCTCAGAGAAAAAGCAAAGAAAAGTTCTGGATGCACAGATTGAAGTCATTCCGCCCCAATGGTATTAACAAACTGAATGACTTCACCAGAATGAACGTAAATTAGACCCGATTCCTGATGATACCAAACAAGATTATTCTCTCAATTTAGTGTAAACTCCACAGTTAATTTGCGTCACCAACTCTCGAACAACCCACATAACTATGTATTGCTTACGCCTTTGTTAATTAATTATTAATTATTTTTTACCGATAATCAGTCCTAAAACATTTCAAATTAAAATTTATAATAGATCATAATTCATATGTTAAAATGCCCCTTCTATATTATTTTTCTTTGGTTATTCTTTATCAAGTATAGTTACGCCATTTTGAGAGAATGAAACAATGTACGACTTACTGATTGTCCTAATTAATTAGCATAATTAATTCGTTCAATTATGTAAATCGCACTTCACCCGAGTATACCCGATAGACTGGACGCATTTCATAGCCGTCCGGATTCTTTCTTTAATAGTGTTCTTAAAAAATTCCAAATCAACATGTAACTTAGTATGTAAATATATAGTGTTTAGTAGTTTAGTAGTAGTGCTAGTTGTTTTTTGTTTCGCTTTTTCCTTTGTTCTTATGACTTTTTAACTCTTTTCTTTGTCCTGAGGAAGGGACAGGGCGTCCCGAAAATTTGACAATTTTTATTGTTCGTGTCGTTGGTCATTTTTAGTGCTTTTTATAAATTTCCATCCGTGACCTTGTATCTACTTGATAGATCCGACATTTAGGATATACAGTGTTGTTTGTTTTTTTAGTGCTATATATATATATATATATATATATATATATATATATATATATAT